CAATTATAAAACAATTCTCTTTGTTTTGGAAATCAGCAAACAGTGTTGCGTAACTGGCACATATTTCTTCAGGAAGGTATGCCCTGAGGGACAAAATTCCTGCACTGGGAGAGGTGAAAGACAAAAGTTGGAGTGGCATCAACGACTTTAAGTTTGAGAAAAAAGTCTCCTTAAGGGAAGGATGCCATAGAGATTAAAATCCTAATAGAGGACATCATTCTTTTTTCTGGTCAACATTTTAACCAAAGTAGTAAATTATATATAACCATAGCAACAGTAGCAAGTTCTGCTGCTACTTGCCAACAGTTAAGCCAGCTGCTTATTTTCAGACAACCTTTAATCGTTGTAAAAGTTTCTTCTTTTGTTAAATGAAAATATTTCTGTATTTCTTACAGTAAAAAAAGTGTGTGGTAGGAGATTTAGGACTAAAAGTTAGGTATATTAGCAACAGTATCGAAAGATTTTAAAACAATAACAAGCTAGGTATAAGCAGGAAGATGATCTCTAACACTCTTCACCGATGAAAGGTGACACCACAACACAAAGAGGTGTGGCATTTCCTCTGCTGAATCCATTTCTCCTCTTAAGTTTGACTGTTTTCTGTCTTCTGGGACACTGTGCCAGCAAACTGCACTAAAAACAGGATATGCTTCACAGATTCACAATGTCACAAAACAATATACTGCACTCACCTTTCTGAGTTATCTACTTACCCAACAGTACCACACCTTCAACTCTCACCCACATCCTCCATGACCCACCAACACCTGGTTCTAACCCACATCAGAGAACCTTTTGATACAGTCAAACACAGCAGTTATGTTTAAGCAGCCAGATCTGGAAACACTATCGATTGCATCTTCTCTCCTGGATCTGTCTACCCACACAGTCTAATTGTAAAATCTAATGAGTAGTAGCACCAGGATCATCTCCGCCTACAGACACTCTCATTGAACCGTAGAGACGACCTGGACAGACTCCAATGTGTTGGCAACAAATCCAGGCAGCTGCTGAGTCAGAGCTTGCTCTGCTGCTGGCTTCCCTCTTACAACTTAGTGTCAGTCTCCCTCAGGCTGTGGTTTATTCTGGAGAGAGCTGGCCCCTGGCATGGATTCCTGTGCTGGCAGTTACAAGGTGTGATCCATAGCTACTGGTGTGTAGCAGACAAGATGGAAATTGTCAGATGCACAAAACCAAACTAAATCTTGTGAGTTTAGATCTTTGTGAGGAACTGTTTGAGCTAGGCATCGTAGAACTTTACAGTCTATTTCTTGCCACAGATTAATTTGGAAACCGACTTGGAAAGGATATTACAGAGTAAATGCCTGTTGAGCCTTGCCAGACCACAATGAGTGGACTGACATTTGTGTGCCAGCTGTTGTGGGCTTCAAGGTTGAGTTGTACTGTCTGTTACACCTTTTAATGTTATAAGCTAGGGTTAATAAGCTAGCTTACCTCATTTTATGTAGTAATTCACCCCCCATGTCTGTTGTCTGAAAGATGACACTTATGGGTTTGCCTTGTGACCTTGAGGTTTAGGAACCAATCATCTTCTTTGCCACTTTGCTCACAAGGTAATTATTAGAAAAGCTTTAATTACCAAATAATGCCATAACTTGTGCTTAGTTTGCAAAACAAATGCGGTCATCATTTGTCCACTTGTTGTTATGCACATTTTCGATATAAAAATATAAGTAGAAGTGCCTAAGATTAAAAAAAGAAAGAGTCAAGAAATAAAACTTTCCAATAGAAAATGCAGTAAAGGCTATTGCAATTGTGTGTCTTCTAGTGTTGACACCTCTGTTTTGGTGCTACTTACTATTACATTCCTCCACTACAGAAAAAAGCCCCCATAATAAGGAACAGGTCGCATAGCCTGCTACAATGTCACAGGTTTGAGTCCTAATTCATTCATTAACACTCATTCCCCGGTCATCAAATACAGTCAGTTAGTTGTAATCTGTAACTCCACAGATGGTGCCACTAAATCCTACACACTGGTCCTTTAACATTCATTCATTCACAACTTTAAATGATGGAACTTGAACAGGATGGACATGTAACTATACATGTATAACAATGTGAGTAATTCTCACAAAAACCTCCCTAATTATCTGTCCAGAAGGGAAGTCTTGTTATACCGGATACCGGGTTCAATTTAGGTTTTGGACTTGCTGCTGCCCTTGTGTTGTCTGTGACATCTTTATATCTGGATCTGCGTATCATCAAACACATCATGACTACTCCTGGTCCATGTGGCTCCATGTGTCTTTGGAGAGGCCAGTCCATTATTCAGCGGCAGACAGCCGGTCTCTCTGCCAAAGCAGCCCGTCTCTTATGACACAACTATTCACTATTCAGCTGTGCTACAGCCGCTCTTCCTGCTGCTGATGCTACTGCTGCTGCAGGGGATATTAACAGATTACCTCTGTGCTGACCTTCCATAGACCGAGCTTTTCCACAACAGACAGCTGTAAACAATATCTTCTCACAGTAATGACTCCATTTTTTGTCATATTTGTGTCCTTTACACTTATATTGTTGCATCTGTGAAGTGTAATGACACACAGAAACTCACACAGTGTGTTAAAGGTATTATTCTCCTCCATGAATGAGGCAGATGGCCGGAGGAGCAGATTGCAGGGTTTAATTAATGACCAAATAAATGGACATTACTCTGTGTGGATGAAGGGCACCGCTTCGTTTTGTGAGCTGCAGATTTTGGTTTTTGTTTTTACCGGCAGCAAAGGTCCCTCCCCCTTCCCCCAGACTCTGCCAGCAGTCCTGCCGGTGTGGAGAGCACAGCCATCTGCCACTTTGAAAGTGTGTGTGTGTGTGTGTGTGTGTGTGTGTGTGTGTGTGTGTGGGTCTGTGATGCCAGCACAGGATCCTGCATGGGTGTGAGGCTGTGATTGGTCAAACACAGACTGTGGCATGATATTTTTTTTTTATGATATCAGAATTCTGTTTGAGTAATGCCAAAATCACGGCTGTAGCAGTCAGTATCCAAAACTGTCATGCAGGGTTGGGCAATAGAACGACAACAGGAAGACATTTTGGTTAACTCTTTATGAGGCTAATCTCTGGTTGTGTAGACCATTGACGGATATGTTGCAAATCAATGAGCAAGATAACATTATGGCAGTATTGTATTAGCAGGATGTTTGCATCAATGTGATTAAGTAGTAATTAACTCTAAGTAACACATCTTTGATGCTAACAGCATGGCTCTAAGGATGGCAGTGTCAGTCAGTCCAGCACTTCGGTCCAGACTGAAATATCTCTGTTGGATGGATTGCCATAGAATTTTGTTCAGATATCCATGGTGCCCAGAGGATAAATCCTGCTGACTTTGGTGATCTCTCACTTTGTTCCAGCAGGTTGACATTTTTGGTTTTGAGGGAAGTGTCTCATGACAAATATTGGACGAATTTACATTAAATTTGATGCATTAAACCACCCGTCAGGATGAATTTGAAATACCAAACACTTCCCATCAGCCTCAGCTGTACACTACTTTGTGGTTAGTGCCACTTATCAAATGTTTGCATAGCAAAATGCTAATGTCGTGCAATCATGCTGTTATGCGCCTCTCAAAACCAGACTTACAAGGTGCTTCACAAAATACAATATCATACAATATAAAACCAAACAATTAATTTTGAAAGAATGAAGTAAAGCCATTCAGGAGTCACATTGGGACCACTAACAAAACATTTAGCTGTCTGTCTGTCTGCTTATCAGAATACTGGGATAATACTGTGGCTGGGCCATCTTTCTGTTTAATCCTCTGGCTTCTGTCACAGTTTGGTCTGTGTGTGTGGGTGTGTGTGTCTGTGTGCATTATCAGAGGGTTTTCATTTCCTCACAGACAGATCAACAGAGAGACAAGAGGGATAGAGAGAGGCGCGTGATACAGAGAGAGAGAGAGAGAGAGAGAGAGAGAGAGGTGGTGTTCACACTGCAGAGAGTTCCTGCTGCTCACTCACCGCTTTTTTCTTGTTGGTGGACTGTTGATGTCTGTTACAGAACATACCCAGCACCAGTGTGAACTTTTGTAGGCCTTTGTTATCTACTCGATCTTTGAATCAAGCGTGAGAAGATTATCATTTCCTATACCCTACAGTAAGCAGTGTCACAGAGGAACAAGTTGCTTAACTTCAACAGTTAACCTCACCCACTAGCAGCAAAGTCACCAAATGCAATTTGGCTCTTTGTATAGTTTTTGTTTTTCCCAAGTGTTTTAGCATTTAGACAACATAGACTTAAACAGGCAGGAGGACACTGTATTCAAGTTAATTTGGAAAAACAACTGTATTTGTATTATCAGTAACCTGTTACTTAATCACAAGCATCGCCACCATCATCATCCCAGTAAAACACAAATATGTGCCATGATCCAAACCAGTCCAACCTGAAGCAGCCAGACCTTCATTTACAGTATCCTCTTCAGTTTCACAACAGCTCCCTGATAAAGTTACTCCTCCTCTTCATCTGTTGATACAAACACCACTCACAGCATGTTGTGATTATGTACCACTACAGCAGAATGAACATGACCAATACCAGAGGCCCAGATTCATTTGACCTGGTCTGTATTTTTCACACTTTGGTGCCCAAAGTGACTGCAGTTCCAAATCAAATTGATTTGAATGATGATTCCCATAGAGGTATTCCCAGGATTGTTTAAGAAAATTTATGTTAAAGGTTTTTGTGTTGCTTGCTTAAGAGTTTGAAACAAGAGGGTTGGGTTTTGTAATTAACAAGAGTTTAAAAAGTTCAACACTCGAAAAACTGACAAAACAGTCAGAATGACAGTTTACATGGCAAGTTTTCAAAAAGCGTTTATATTGATGTTTTGGCTCTGGGAAACTGGTGTCTTATTAAAAGAATAGTCTGCAGATTATTTAAAAATGAAATCAACCGTTTCTTAGTAATCCTGCAGTAAAAACAGTTTTCAGACAGTGGGTTTACTGTTGTTTTCTTTCCTCTTTTCACAGCCATCAAGGTGAACTGTCAGGGCTCATGTGGGATATCCAACAAAGCGAACGACAGCTCGTGGACTCTGGAGGAGCAGTACTTCAACAGCACATTGTCTGTTGCTGACAAAGGTGATGCCTCTAGAAATTTTCTGACTTTTAACTGCTTTTCTGCTGGTTGCTTGCAATGCATAGGTGCATTAAGGGACACCTTAAAGGGGAATTACCCCTAATTGCGCCACACGAAAAAGTTGCCTGGTAACAAATGCACATCAGCAGCGGTAGAAAGCGCAGCAAGTGAGTTTTTTTACGACAGTTTTGTGAAATATACGTCTCAGAGCTCTAGGGGGAGCTCGTTGAGAAAACATGCAACGACAAAAGTGAAAACCAGCGAAGAAAGCTAGAGTTGCCAAGTTCCCCTTTAATGTAGAGGTCTGAATTTGTATTCTATGTGTTAGAGAATCACGCTTATATTTTTACACATTTGTGCACACTATGAAAAAACTTAGCTTCCTATATGAAACAGACTGTTTTATCCCACTCCTCTGAGAGCACTGAAATATCATAACCTCCAGATCCCTGTGACAACAACGCTCTATGATGTGACTGAATCCTTCTGCCTTTCACCGCATTTTCTTTATGGGAAATCTGCTGCAACAGGCTTAATCTCACAGTGGCAGCAGCAGGTTTTTGCAGCCCTGTATTGAAGAGTTAAAGCCTCCATCAGTCAGAGTAGCAGTCCCCTGCAGGGATGTTCCAGCCTGCCTCTCTGCATGCTACCTCCCTGAGGTGAGATGTGGTCATCAGTGTCCAGCAGTGTCTGATGAGAAGGGTGGACATGCTCCACAGAGGACAGGTTTAGATTTTTTTTCACCTAGACTCTGGGTACAAATCTGCCCTGCTGCACTGAGGCCAGGCTCAGCCGCGGAAACAAGAGCTTACAGGACCTTTTGTTGTGAGTGTGATCTTCCATCTTTTGTATGTGTTGCCGATACCGCCCACAGCCAGAAGGTGAAATGTGCCGTGCATGCATGAAATCTGCTGTAAACGCAAATCATGCATCCGGACTTAATGGTCGTCATGAGAGCGTGTAATCCACGGCAGTTAAAACGCCAAGAAACAGTTCAATGTTTAACTCTCAGGACTGTGTTCTTCAGCTTGTGATATAGAAGTCTGTACTGCGGTAATACAGTACATTATGTGTGTATGTGCAGTATGTGTGTATGTGCAGTAATCAAGTAGAATATTGTTTCCATTTAATGCTACTTCTACTTCACTACATTTTAGCTGGAAATATTGTTCTTTGTACTCTAGCTGTAGTTATAGTTAATATGCACATTGTACATTTTCATACAATATATGATGCATTATTGTTGATTAAACTACTAAACTGCATCAGTTTAAATAATCCAATAATGTAATATACAGTATATGTATATTTCACCAACATTTTCTACAAACTACAAAAAAACATGCCATTGGAAAATCTGTAAAAGCTCAGTTTTTGGTCTCCACCAACTCATGGGGGAAATATCTGGCTCTTTGGCTGCTAAATGTTCCAATATATTAACCGTCTAGTCTCTAACTATGTCTCTCTGCTGTTAGGTGATGAGCAGCTAGTGTACAGGGGGTTTTGGAGCTTTCCACTGAAAACATATAACCTAAAACTTACTCTAAAGCTCTGTAAAGTTGCAGGGAGCTGAACAATCAGGTGATAATTGTCTGTGGGTTCATCACTGTGAGTGACTCCTTTCTTGGTGAATGGACTGTAGTCTTCTGTGCTGTACACTACATGCTATATTCACACATTCATACACATTCATACAGTGATGACAAAGGCCATGAACAGAAAGTAACTCATTTATACACATTCAGCAATTGGGTTCAGAATCTTGCCCAAGGACACTTTGTCATGCAGCGGGAAGAGCCGGGGATCAGATTAGTGGAAGACCCGCTCTATCTCCTGAGCCACAGCCACCCCATTGTTTTCACATTGTTACTGTCAACACTGTTATCATAAAAATATTGATAGCTGCTTTAAGTACAACTTTGAATGCAGGACATTTACTTGTATTGGAGTATTATTAAACTGTGATGTTGTTACTTCTTGTTTTGCCTCTGTGTACTGTAGAATAGAGTCTAATGTGTTAAGCTATGTAGCATTAGCATAGGAAAAAACTACGAAAGCACTATTAACTGTAGATTAACAGAGAAATTGTATTGTAATGTGTTTGAGTACCACTGACAAAATTTCTGTTACACTGAGGTGGAGACAGATGGTTCAGGGAAAACAAAACTGTCTGCATGACTAGACACTCCTAGCCATGCAATGTGAGACAATGTTTTTTGTGTTTTGGATGAACTGACTTCTGCTTTGTTTTTGATGTGATTTCTGGCCAATTGATGTGAGGGAAATTAGGGCTTTTGTTATACCAAATGTCAAACAGGGAAGTGGAAATTAGGCTTCAAAGCAGGCACTGATTACTCAAACCGAGCCAACAAACAGCCACAAACATGAACATAGCCGCCTCACATGGTAGCATGTCAGCAGACATGTTGGCATACAACTGAATGAGCTCTAGTCTGTACATGGATACAGGACCTGTGTAACTGAAGGAAGACTATATGAATGTGGTAAACTTACAGCCAAGTAAAGATAAAAACAAATATTATTAAATATACGCTTTTACTGCATTATCACATTTGGCATGGCTATTGAACCTCAACTGTTGAACACTTACAGTCACTGTAATCTGACACACCTGTCTGCAAGGCATTCTGTTGTGCAGAACCTTTGTAGTATTCAATATGAGAAATAACAAACAAATGAAATAAATACCACCGGCAGTATTGTTGGAGCGAGAGTACAACTCATTTAACATTGCAGTACAGAAATGCACACACACAGTGTACTGTAAAACACCAGGCACACCACCCTCCAAACGGATGAGGACATAAATAATTCATTACACACCCTCCCTCTGTGCCCCCTTTATCTCTGCCATTTTCCGTATCCCATTCTCTTCCGAAAATGGGCTGCTCTGCCCCCAAGGGCTGAGCAACACGGGGAGAACGAGTCAGGAAGGGTGACAGAAGACCACCACACACACACACACACACACACACACACACACACACACACAAAACACACACACTCTCTCTCACACAAAGCAAGCGACGCTGACTTTGGCTGACTGATAATGTGGTATGCCACAGATGCTTGACGGTTGGAAGGATGAACACCAGTGATGTCAGCGTCCGCCCTTCATCCTGTCACTGTTCTCAGTTAATGACCTTCAGGGAATAAGGACCTCCCTCCCACTGTTGCAGTTGGATTGTGGTTTTACTGTAGACTTGTTTTAAAATCAGACAACTTTATATTTAGACCGTGCTTGAGACAGACTCACTGTAGCATTCCATGTTTTCATATTTTACATTATCTATTGTTGCACATCTCTGCACAGATAGTGTTTGTTTGGCATCATGTTTAATCCATTAAACATGAAAGTAATTAGGGAATTAAGCACCAGGAACTGCAGTTTAGCAGTTAAGTTAAAGGATGATTCATTTGTTGGTGTTCAAAGAACTACAGCTCCCATAGAGCTTTTCAAAGGGTGCAGCACATTTGTGATACATAATTGTCAAAATTATGTATGTAGGATGTTTTGTCCTAATAATGGCACCAGATTAAAAGTCAGGTGATCACCAAAGTCATTACAAGTCATCTTCCTGGGACCATGAATATCTGCACCAAATCGTATGGAGATATATTTTTAAAGTTACATTATTAAGTTCATTTTAAGCAATGTTTTTGAAAACTGGACTGTTCTGTTATTGACTTTAGTTTGTATATTACAGATATTTATTGTGTAATACAGTATTCTTTTTATTCATTAGTGCTGTAGGTAGAATGGGTTTGAATTGTTGAGGATTGATATTAGGTTAGAGGGATATGGGGGGTTATGGATTAGTATGCTGAAGTTTAATATTTTAACAGCCTACTCTGTGTAATCTGTAATCTAGCCCTCTGTTAATTGTTTGCCTTCATTGTGTTTTTGAAAGTTTTTTTTTGTCAATATCTGTGTTAGCTAGTCTTTCTGCAGTTGAATATACAAAGTGGCTGTTGCACCTGCACAGAGCTGGTTCCTGACTGCTTCCTCTAGCAGTAAACATAATGCAAATGAACACACACATACACACACACACACACACACAGCCTGAGCGCCTCCCCTCAGGAAACTGAAACCAACGGAAAAAGTTGTGCCCGTCCCTAATGAGGTGAGACATGTTGCTGTCTACAAGAATTTAATTGGGCTGTCAGCTCATCTAGAGAATTAATAACCCGGCTGGCTCAAGGTGCTCTCAGTGTGACATAGAAAGGCCCTCGTGCTTTTGCTAGCATTTACCTAAGCCTGTGGAGTAAACAAGTATTAATAATGTTGATAATTGCTCATTACAGAACTGCAGTATATATAATGAATAAAATGACTGAAAGTGACTTTTTAAAAATATTTTCTCTTTTGGAAGCCGTGTGATGAGAAGATGACATTTCTCGGGCCCTGTGATAACTTCCAATTATTACTGTCAGTGTTACACTCAGGCATGCAGTCACATGCAGTACACGCATGTCATGGATTAGATATAATTTAAGATATTTGAGGCTGAGAACTTTGTGAAATTGGAATTTGGTGTTTACAAACCCTTGTGGAAAAATTGGGGTCTAGTTTCCTGAATGCTTAGAAAACACTCTGAAAATAAGAGTTCAAACTCAGAGTTGTGAAATTGCTTTTCTGGGTGGAGTACTGTAAGCAGCTGGTGCCATATCTGAATACTGCAAACAGTGTAATAACCAAGTGAGATAAAAGAGCTTCTATTTGGATACACATTCTTTTTCAGAGAAAATCTACTTAACAGTTTGTTTTATTCCAAAACACCTCTTCATGCTTCAGAGCTCTTCCTGTTCCGGAGTGCCAGATATGTTTCTGAAAACACAGAAAGGTCTGCTTCAGTTCACCCTGTGCTGTCTAATAACATCCAAATTACAAAGTTTGTGACAGATAATGTACAGATAAGGTTTTCTTTTTCTTCTGCACAGATGCTTGATTGAACCCTATCCTGATGTACATTTTAGTTCTTTTTTTGTTTGGTTTCTAGTGTTTATATCACTGTCTGTCTCTGCAGGAAGTTCTGTCTGTTTGTGCCAAAAACAAGGCTGGACATGGTCTGTACTTTTCTTATTGTTAATTTATCTTATGAAATGACCAAAACCAACAATGAATGTGTGTAAAACCGCAGCTGAAAGTAGTCTGCAACAATCACTATGTACTCCTGTTTGATGAACAGCTGAGAAATGTATTTAACCTTACAAGAAAAATAATCATATATGTTTGACCAGTTTCTAAAGAGTTTTGTAATCAATAGGTAGATGCCACAGACATAGTAGAGAGGGATGTTGGTCTTGGTCTTCTTGTTGGATTTTTTGACAACAAGAAAAATGTAGAATAAGAATGTAGAAAGCTTATCGTTTAATCTATGAGGGCAGACATGGCACAATGATGCTGACCCGTGGATGTTGTAACTGAGCAGAAGAATGCACTCCTTGGTTCGATCACTGCTGGCCTCACTGTGCTTGTAAATCATTGATTAACTTTGCTGAGAAATGCTCCAACTTTGGCAGCTACACAGCTGACAGTTTATCACTTCCTCTGATGCTGGTTGATTGGTTTCAGTTGTTAGTTTCATTGGCTACAAAAGACATCTGGGCTCTGCGGTCTTTGAACAGTAAACAGTCCATTTGTCTTAGAAAGTCCATCTCACCACTGAGTTAGGTGAACCCCACAGGCACAGCATCTCACCTGGACATCTGATGTTTACAAAGGGATATGTGAAGTCCAAATAAATACAGTCACACACACACAAACCCTGAGAATGATCACTATATGTGCAACCAGTCAAGTTATTTGCATTTGTTTTATTTTCAGTTTGTAACTGATAAACCTTGCTCTTTTACAGGAACTCTGGTACCGGGCGAACACAGTTTCCCTTTCCAGTTTCTCATTCCAGGTGAGTGCTGGATTAACCTTGATGACCCGTTCAACCTCATTCCTCTATGTCAAGGGCACACCCTCAGTTCCCATAATAGTTTTCACATGGACCTGCTTTATCAGAGGCCAGGTGACGTCAGTGAAAGGGCCATGCAGGTGTGATAACCCTGGACTTTTTTTAGTATGTGTACTTACAAAGTGTTCAGACCTAAGTCCTTTGTCTCCGTTACAGAGCAGACACACGCAGATATGTGATACTGATGGTGTGTCAGGGATCATTACGTAGTCAATGTTTAAAGATTTGGGTGGAATATGCCTCAGCGTGATAATGTATCTTTATTCCACGCGCCACTTGTCCACAAACACATTCTAAATAAGCTGATTTTTCCTGAAGGCTGACAAAAAGATTACCAACACTGCGACCATGCAAATAACAAAGATCAGCTGAACATACTTGGCACCTGTGAGGGCACACACATTGTCCGTCTGGTATCTTACACTCTCTCAGGCGTGGGCTGAAGCACGGGGGGAGTCGAGGGGGGGTTCGGTTATTTTTAGTTCCCTTTCCTGTTGTGCAGTCACTGTTTAATTGGTCTTCATGCCCCCATGCTTCACCCCCCCCTCCTTTCAGGCCCTCAGACTTGAGAGCATGTTAACTATCATGTAGTGATAAGTGGCTCATTGGAGAATCAGGTATCTCCTACTGCCCCCTGCTGGTACAGCAAAGTAGGCATATGATATGCTCTTGAATAGCTTTAAAATAGACTAAAGTTGAGTTGGGTATAGTCAGCCAACGCAGGATTTGAAGAAGGTGATGATAATTATTTTGAGAAAAGTTCGTGTGTAGATATGAAAACATGTCAGCATCAAAACACATAAAAAATATATATACAAAAACAGAGAATTATGGTGATATGCTTGATATTTTAAATATGCACTTGTACTGCAAAAATTCACTATCTTAGAATGACTAATCTATGGTTCTTTGTATGCAAATATAATGATCTCACAATTGTAAGAAATCTCAAAAAAACTCCAGAATCTGTTCTTGATTAGGAGCCAGACTAAAACTATTTTAAAAAATTCTGAACAAAAAAAAAATTCAATCAAATATCCTAACAAACAGATGAATGTGGCATCTGTATAATATGTAGTGTGAAAGCATTGCCAGGAGTTACATGTGAACACTAAGCAACTTCAGAGCAATTGCTACTCAAACAGAGAGATAAAGGTCTTAAAGCTCGTTTAGAAATTTGTTGAAGCGTTTACACTGACAGCAATGGTTGTTTTAAGTCAGTTTTAAGGTAAGTAAAACTGTAATAATTCATAAAAACCCACCAAAAATGGAAAAGTAGTTCTAGCACTTTTATTTAACACAACTATGGCAGGTACAGTCCAAATATTACAACACTGGCGTTTCAGACTGTAACTCCATGTCAGAGCCTCCTTTATTAAGTCACAGTTTGCTCCTGATGTGCCAGTCAGCAACTGCATGGCAGCTTAGCAACCATTAGTGTATTAAAGTTTGTGCCTGGATGAATGAGAGGGGTTGTAAAGTACTGTACACTGTTCCTAGGATAAACATGCCACATGAATGCAATTAGTCAAAAAATCCTACCATTATAGAGATTATAATGTTTATTTTTTGCTTAAACTATTACAGACAGGTGTTGATTCCACTTTATTTGAGAGATGTTTCAGATATGTCTGCTTTCATTGATCTAGATGACTTTCAGATCTCAACACCTCTCTAAAACTGTTTCTACATTATAACCCTCAGTATGGTAAGATTTATGGCAGGACTGTTGCATTAGACTGCATTCATGTTGCAAGGTGCACTTAATAAAAAAAAAAAGACACATTTGTCAAACTTAAATTATTAAGTGTCAGTTTCAAGGTACAATTACAGAGTACCTTAATTTGTATATGTTGTTTTTGAGATATTTGTGCATTAGTTTAATAGATGAAAAGCTATAAAATATGCAATAATTAAGGTTTTTAGGAATTGAAGAAGATCAGTGGAAATGGTTTGATGGATATGGTGGGATTCAGAGCATTGTTGGTTGTCCTGCTGATGCTCACAAGCTCAGAAGTAACAAGTTAGGAGAAGGAGCCTTGGGTAAAGTCAGTATGTTTTTTTAACAAAGTTATACAGGGAAGGACTAGAATTTCATCTGACAAGCCCAGCTCATTTATCTGGAGTTGAGGCATCAGGTGTTGTGCTGGCCTGATCATTTCTCACTGAGGGAACAAAGAAATTCAAAGAGAAAAGGAAGGCGTAGGCTGAGATAAGCTCAATACACTCAATACAAGGACACTTAGAGGTATAAACAGGGTTAGATGAAATAGTGGATGGCCTCATTCCAAAGAGACACAAGATATGAGTTCAGGAAGAGAAGAGAGAAGAACAAAAGAGATGAAAACAAGTTATACACTTTAATAGAGATCTGCAAACTTTTATCCTTGGTAGATGAGCCGCTGCACAGTCCTACCATACAAGCACCCTTGTTTTCATACAAATAAATAGAATAAAACAATGATCTAATTCCATGACAAGCACAGCCTTAAAATCCCATCTGACTGTTGATTTTTAAAATGAAACTGTCAACTTTGATACATTTCCAAACATCAGTACTAAGCTGGGATGAGGGTTTTGAATTTGGGAGTGTTACTGGCTGCTATACAAACTATGTGTGAAATGTGTGCTGCTGTGTGACAAGCCAGACCTTCTGAAATCAAGTGTTGCCTGTCATCTTACAACTAATTGACTTCCCTGTTTAGCAGTTAAAACTTTCTCTATTTGATCTGTACACCTCTGAAGTCAACAGTCAGATTTTAGTGGAACATATGTGGAATCAAAAAGAGTTACTTTGACAGTCTTGGTTGACAAGTGAGCATTGACTTGGTAATTTGCAGGTCAGAGGTCAATGTTGTTATGGAAATGTTCTTCTTCACTGGAGAGCTTCTGAAATAAAGATATCAAACCAGTATGTCTTTATGTGATTTTATTTCTTGTAAGAAAGGTCAGTTGATCCAAAAGAGCATCGAGCAAGTGCTGGATGGAACAGGCAAAGATACACAGAGTATTAGCTAATTTATAACAGCTCGGGCGGGGAGGAACAAGGTTTTTACATAACTCGAACAAAGCGTCTCTGTTCCTTATCAGTCGGTTCCTGTGAGTTTCCAACTAACTATGGTTTTAGGAGTACCACCAGGTGCAGGAGAGAGAAATCTACGGCTCTTGTGACTTTAACATGGATGATACATTTCCTGCTACCTAAAAGAAATCTCTGCTAGACTACAAACAACCTAAAGAACTATAACAGGAGACAGTGGTAACTATGACCATTTTACAATTAGGTTTGAACTGCACTAAATATGGATGAAGACTGAAGCATTTTAATGCCTCAGTTGCAAATAACCATTGTTTTGAAGGTCCAGTGTGTAACATTTTGGAGGCTTTATTGGAAGAAATGGAATATAATACTTATACGTATGTTTTCGTTAGTGTATAATGAAACTAAGAATCCTGTTTTTTGTTACATGAGAATGAGACATTTTCATCTAAATAAATCATGGGTCACCTTCTGACCTTCCAACACACTGATCCTTTAACATGAGACTACTTTTCAACTTGTAATTAAAGAGACTGCTGTTCAGGTGTTTATATGTACCTTAGCCATCCAAACAAGACAGCTTGCCATGCTAGCAGTTTTGTGAGGCTGTATTTAGGTACTGCAAAATGTGAACCTCATGGTGGCAGCAGAGGAAATGTCAGGATCACTAAAGTCCTTTAAACACATGTTTACAAGGCTCCTAGATACACAAGTCCATCCTGAAAAATAAATGTTGTAGCACTGCCTGTTGAAGTGAATTTAGCACCCTGCAGCACAAAGGCTACACAATCCTCTGCCACCTTCAGCAGCCACCAGCAGTCTCTCTTTTTTTGCTACCAGGCTGTCAGCCACAAAACAACAACCCGTCGCTCGTGGTTAATTCTTATTGACAGCAGGAGCATACTTGTCCCTGGAGCAGCCGCCTGCCTTGCTGACATTAACATCTGAATGAGGGTTAGGGAAAAAAGGAACACATTAGAATAGTGAGGGTGAGAGAGTGGCTCAGCTTTTATTTTGACAACATATTAATCACCTTTTTGTACCTCCTGTTTGGGAATTTATATGCAAATTGTTTTTACATAGCACATTATCAGAAAAGGTTTTGAATCTGATTTGTTTTTTTTACCCTCCCCTCCGGCTTGGAACAGCTCTCTCCTTCTGTCTGTCTGTCTGTCTGCTTTCTCCCCAAATAGTTATTTTTATCTCTGTCTCCTCAAATTTCCTTCTCTCCAGTCTTTTCCCTCCCTATGTCCTCCTCTTCACTGCCCTTTCCTCAAGTCACAAAAACAGTGTCTTTCCATTCAAGCTGAGATGTGCAGGAATCAGTCTGAAAGGCTCCTCACATTTTGTGACAGAGGCCTGCATGGATAAGGACACACATTTCAGGTGCCTTCCCCCTACTATAATTAATAATAATAAAAAACAATAAAATCTGTTTAAATTCTTTCCTGATGAATCTTGCTTTTTCGGGCATTGCCTTATTGCCATCTTTTGTTGAAGAACATGTGTTGACTGAGCTTCAGGTAAAAAACAAACTAAATATAAATCAGTCTTTCTTTGCATATCCCTCATTCTCATTTCTTTAATTCTTTGTCTTTTTCCCCCTTAATAAATATAGAGAGATATAGAGATTTTCATGAACAGGATTTTTCTTTTCCTTCATAATATCATTTGACACAATGAAAAAAAGAGTTGTTTTAAAGGTATCTATGTAGGTTGTGTTTAACAGTTTAATTCCAAGCAGCATTTTTTTTTTATGGGTTATTGAAGTTTGCAAACCTGTTTAATATTTAAAAAGTTACCTTTTTTTACCTTTTCATTAAGAAATCATCGTATATCTAACAAATGGGCTTTAGCGGTCCTTTACATCAGTCACTGCAGCTAGAATGTCAGTAACTGTCTGACCTGTCTGTATTTTCATTATTCCTAATCTTATCTTTAGTTGCTGCCCCGACTTCCTTTGAGGGACCATTTGGAAAGATTATTTACCGCGTGAGAGCGGCCATCGACACGCCCCGCTTCTCTAAGGACTACAAAGCTCATAGGCCCTTCTACCTACTCAACCTGCTCAACCTCAATGAGGTGCCGGACATTGAAGTAAGTTTTCAGTGCACAAACTTGCTGAGTTAATGTAGGAGTGAAAAAAGTTGTTCATATAGACACAGAAGGAGACTTTGAAAAGCTGTAATGTGTCTCTTTATTTGATCAACCTTTGTCTTGGTCGAGGCTTATTTGATTTCATGGCTGTGCAGGATCTAATCCTCCCCTGCATTACTTACTTATAATTCACTCTCTTCCCATCAAGACTGTCAAGAGTTTCCTGGTTCTCTGGAACTTAGCAGGAACAGATTATCAGCGCAGCATCAGCCTAATGAGGCTTCTTGATTACCAACAATGCACAAACAAACATTTATCTTGCGACTCTGTGTCCGCAGCATCCGAGTCACGCTGTGACCACTAAGAAGTTCAGCTACCTCCTGGTGAAGACAGGGACCCTGATGTTGAAAGCACGCAGTGACATGAGGGGTTACATCCCCGGTCAGGTCATCAAGTTGGCCACTGAGATCCACAACAAGTCTGGGAAGGACACTGGATGTGTACTGGCCAGTCTCATACAGGTAGATTACTGAATCAGTCATAAATGTAAATGTTTTTTACCACCACATCTTGCTTTCAACAGGCTAACTTCTTGCTGCAGTGAGATATATTTGTATTATTTTGTTATTTTTCTCACAAAGTCTAATGGTTTTTTAGGTGTTGAGTACAGAACATGTGTACTGAAAAATGGACTGAGTTGGGGAAAAACCCAAAAGAAAATAGATCATGGAGGTGGGTTGGAGTCACCGTCACATGTTTTTATGTCTGTGTACGTTTTGTCATACCAGAAAGTGACCTATAAGACCAAGCGGCCTATGTTTGACCTGCGCACCATCGCAGAGGTGGAGGGAGCCGGAGTGAAAGCAGGAAAACACGCAGAGTGGAAAGAGCAGATCATCGTCCCTCCTCTTCCTCAGTCAGCGCTGGCCGGCTGCAGCTTCATAGACATTGACTATTTCATTCAGGTTAGAGTGTGTGTATACTTGTCTTATACTTAGCTTACTTATGCAACATGACAGCTTTATGTACATTTTCAGCTACTTCTGGTTTGTTTTCTGACAGACCAGCTCTTGACTTCTGATGAATAATGTTTTTGTTTATTGTATCTATTGCCTCCGGATTAAAACCAGTAAATTATTGATGACACCTACTCATTGTAAACTCACCGTAGAGTACTTTCACACAATTAAGAATAATGAATATAATTATAATTATACCAGATCTACTATAAACTATAACATCCAGCCTCATACAGCCGGAGCTGAGTATGAATGTTTCCTTTCTAATTTTATCTTGAATATCTGTGAGTAGAGAGTGATATTTTTCATTGTAGTGACTATAATTGTCCCACAAGTCTGGATAGGTTTGGATACATAGTATATTTAAATTATAAGGCAGGTGTTCTTCTATATTTTCTTATTGTCACCAAATTCCATGAAAAGATTCCTGAAACTAGTGTGTGTTCATTTTAATGAAGGAAAATGTCACCTAGAACAACAGTGTGGTTGATTGATGTGTTTGTAATAATAATGGAGCTCTGTAGCACAAAGGAATGAGATATATCAAACTTGGATACCCAGACAATATTGCAGAATCAATTCTTTGTTGGTTTTGGGATTTATTTATCTTTTCATGGGATTTATTGACAATAAGGAAAACCTAGAATATCACCAGTCTTATCGCCTCCTGTCCCCACTTCCTCGGCTCATTGTTTTCGTTGAAAACTTGCCAGTTTCTGTTCTCAGTAGTTTACAGTAGATGAGGTTCTCACAGCTCACAAATCTGGCAATATAGAGTGAGGGAAAAAAATATGAAGATATGCAAATTAGCTCCTGTGTCCCTTTTTAAAAATGGTAATTAGACCACATTGTGTATTTAAAATCATAATTTCTCTCATATTTTATATTTTTCAAATTGTTTTTGTAAATAATATATTTTCTTTTAAATAAACACTGATAATGCCTAGATTTGATGAAATAAAAACTAAATGTAATGAGCCTTAATTATTGTACAGTTAAAATTCTAATAGAGGCCCGTGCTTCCTTCATAAATCCTGTTGGTGTTACAGGTCTCACTAAGATCTCCCGAGGCAGTCGTCACTCTGCCCATCTACATTGGGAACATTGCTGTGAACTTGTCTCCTTCGAGACCCATGCCCTCCACTCCCATCCACTGCGGCGCGACCATCGCACCCAGCGCGGCAGGCGTGACACCCAGCGCCCCACCAGTGGAGGAGGAGCTAGATGAGGGGCTGTGTGCAGGAGGCATGGTCAGTGAGGAGATTCCTACCAAGAGTCACTCTCAGCAGGATCCCTCAGGTCAGCCAGTGACCATGTCCCCCAGCGCCTTCAGCCACGCTCCCGGCGCAGCCCTCCCTCCGGGCCACAGACGGCCTAACGCGTCCGCTCCCCTGTTCTGTGTGTCCACCGGGGCCACCATACCTTTCTTCACTGAGGGAAACGTGACTCCTGTCCCCACTTCCTGTTCTCTCATCCTCCCCCCAGAATACAGCAGCTGGGACTACCCTCACGGTTAGTTCTTCACAGTCAGATCGATGATGATTTTACACGAGTCCGTCATCCTTATCACAGTCGGTGCTTTGAATATCCGTTTTATGTATTCACCACAATCAAATCAAGTGATGAGTTGTTCAGACACTAAAACCAGATAAACCCTGGCTGATGTTGAGTCGGGAGTCAACTCTTGTAATAGTGCTGTTATATGTCCTTCCTAAAAGGTAAATCACCCGGCTCAAATCACATGTTCAATAATAGCACACTGGAGCTGTTATATCTGTTCTATATGGGTACTTGTGAATCCTGCAAAATTCTGTAATGCAGCTTTCTACTCATGCATAAGTCCTGAAAATGTCATGAAAAAATATTAGATATTATTATGTAGGTATATAAGTCAGAAGACCACACATCCCCAAAATGGCTGACATTTCTGGTGACAGCATAGGACACCACTTATGTTTTATAATGCTGTAAACACCTTGTTATGATAAGTGCTAGTGAGTACACCCTTTAAATTTAAATTTCATAAAAAATGATATGCAAGAGTACTAAACCAGTAAATTATAACTTGAAAAATGAATGAGTTCATCAAATGTGGTTGCTGAATCATTCACTATTGGTTCACAGTAATCCTATGATAATTCTAAATAATGCCGTTATTGTTACAGAAACCTGTGTTCACGCTCACACTCTGTTCAAGTCTCAAAACCACATTACACCCAGATTGGGGTCAGATTGATGGTAAAACATTGGTTCATCCCACATCACTGCCTGACTGAAAGGGTGTTAGTATGAAGAATCTAGAAAACTTTTGTTTATTACTCATCTTGATTAAAATGATAACGCTTACAAAATTCCTGTACAGTTGCACAATTCTCTTTTATGTTAGAATTTGGACAGAAAACCCGATGAACATGTTTAAAAATTGCACATAGACTGATATCTTTTAAAAATTATATGAAAGAAACCCTATATGACTTAATCCATTGACTTGCATATACTTGTGGAACAGAGGGTAGGGCTTCAACTATATTACTGACCTTTGTGTGTCTTTTTGTGTTACAGAGCCCCCACCCACTTACGAGGAAAGCTGCAGTAGCGCCAACTCCAGTTTCAACAGTAGACAGTAAAGAAGAAGCAGGTGATGAAGCATCATGGCCTCGCCCACCCACACCTGTCTGCACTCGCCTCTTGACAGGAAATCAGGACACAGACGCTGGGTTACAAAGGATGGACCACGGATCCACCCTTGAACACCCCAAAGATTGTTTCTTTGTCCTCTAATGAGTAAAAAAAGGGATCATATCTTATATTGAATATAAGTTTTAATTTCACCTCATGTCCCAGCAGGTAGTGTCAGACAGAACGGGTGAACATCACTGTGCCTAAAAGAAGTATTTTGGATCAGCATACAGCATTTAGAATATTTAGTGATTGGACATGTTTCTGTCACGGGGCAGGGTAAAATCATGGTTTGTCAGTGAATTTTTGCATCTGTGATGCCTTGAGAATGATTTCGGCCTACTGAAGGCTTGTGTTTGACAAGATCAAACGTTGGCCTTTTTCAGAGTCTTGTTCCAATTTTGCACTTGTTATTTTTGTCCACTGGTGTCTGTTTATGTCTCAGTTGTCCCCTTCATTAACAGGACAGAGCTGTCTTCATGCTGGATATTGAAAGGAGACCTTGTTGCCAGAGGTTGTGGCTTGTCTGTAAACTAGTTAAAACCCGTGTGTAGGATTTCTCTTACTAAACTAATCCAGTCAAAAATCTGTGAATTTTTAAAAGTAGTTTTTGTTGACATCAATCAACCATTTGGAATATTTAAATTTTCATGTTTAAAAATATTTTGTTTCCAAACATGATCCTTTATGTTGAGAAAATGTCGGTCAATGCACAGAAGAGCACTGACCTGCTCTGTTCATTGGAAGTGATAAGTGATCATCTCTGTACCACCACGCTGTGTTATATAAATGAGAGGTTTTGCTTTGACATCAGTTTTGTATTCAGAGGACAATGTATCTGCAGATGAAACTCATTTTTCCTGCAGCTGGATATAAGGACTGCAGCACTGATGCAGTCTTCCTCTGCCCTCCGGTGGTCATCACTGGTACAAGCATTACCTCAGCTTGTCATGAAACTGGAGCTTAACATAGTCAGCCCTGCAAAGTGAAACACTTCACTCCCTACTTGTGTTGTTGATCAGAACTGACTGAGATACGTGTTGTATTGAGATGTGATGGATATGATGATATGTTTTACATCATCTTCAGTCTAAATAAGATTGTGGGTTGTTCTCCTGTTTGTTGCCTTAATTTTCTTTTAGTGTTACATTAGTGAGCGTACTCTGTAATTTCAGTCGGTGCAGATGATAAACATACATCTGCACTTTTTACAGCTCGAGTGCATCAGTTTCTGAGTGCACTGTGTGTGTGTGTCTGTGTGAACAAGATGATAAGTTCCCCTTAGGTCTATTTTTACTCCAACTTTGTTTATGATTCAGCATCTGTGTTGTCTGTTAGAGACATTTTTGACATTTTTCTTTCCCTGTGTAGGATTGGGTGATAATTCAACATTATTAAGTTTCAGGGTAATCATATTGTGATCTGATGTTCTTACGTTAACATTCCCCAAATTTCTCTTGTCCAAATTAATTAATGTGACTTAATGTCACTGCCAATCTTAAGCACAACTGCTGTATTGAGTTTTTCTGACTATTGATGTTTGTCTTATTTTATTCATGTTTCAGTACAATCTCAATAGTCCATTCTGTGAATTTAGAACAGTGCTGGCTCCTGACTGCAGATCATATTGCCACGTGTTTTTTTTTTTTTTTAATTCTTAAATTATTTTGTGAGACACACCAGCTCTAAAATTTCTACAGACAAACTGCTTTTACTGTTAAAACCTGACAGTCACCCAAACTATGGTATTCTGGCCCTACATTATTGTGAATGCATGCCTTAAACAATCTGGACTCCAGCCACCCCTTCCAGAAGCTTTTGATGGACTTTCTTCTTCTCTGTCAGGGTGGACATCAGGATGTGCTCGTGCGTGCAATTCTTCCTGCTTTGTCTCCTGTGGACTGTGCTAAGTGCACTTGATGTATACAAATGTAGCTTTTAAAAAAACAGCGAGGACACTGGACTTTTGTTTTTATTCTTATTTTAGAAAATATGTGCAATTCCTCTCATCTCCAAGAACGCTGCAGCAGCTGCAGCTCCTTGAAGTCACTTCATGTTGCCTTTATTGATCCCGATTTGTTGATTTGATTTCTTCACCACTAAAAGGTACTATAGCTTTACGAAGCCCCACTTGTTCTGTGTTTTTTTTTTTCATTCTTTCCCCCTCACATATTGATGAGTGGTGTCTGGTTTTGTATTTTTCTACTTGTAAACTGTTTACAGGTGCAGTATGCAGATATTAATAGTAGCACCTCAATCAGTAAGTGTAATATTTCAACTTGCAGTGCAGAATCAAAGTTGTACTGTACAGTATAACAATAAAATTATATGACATGTTTGTGTTCTCGTATTTCAGTGATTAAGTATGTTTTCAGTTTAAAGGGCCAGTGTGTGGGATTTAGTGGCATCTGCAGAGAACAGACTGAAAAAACTTTATCTGGATCCTACATTGAATAATTCATATACAAAAGATAGTTTTATCTATCTTTTTTAAATAAAAGATCATGTTTTAAAAGAGAAAAATATATATATTGATGCCTTACAAAGAGACAACTGTAGCAATGTCTCCACAGCTGTGATTGGTAATGTTTTTGATGATGAATTTTAGAGTCATTATGTTGGCCAATAAGTGTATAGATTTACAGTTTATATTGCACTACAACATATATAGAGTTCTTAATTAATGTTTTATGGCATCATCATAAGCTACCTGAAGTCTCAGCTTGCTTTTTTGTAGTTTGACCACAAGTGTGCAGTATAGAGTAGTGTACAATATGCTCTGAAAGGAGACATCTTCACTCTATCTGTACACATACTAAACTTGAGTGTTTGCTACATATTGCTGCATTACCTATAAATATCATCTGTGATTTGTTCTTTCATAAAATGTCCAAATATACTTTAACTTATTACAAACACCAAGATTATTATCAATTATTATCAGACAATTTGAAGTCTGAAGATTTTAGAGATTTGTCCTCTTTGGTTTTAAAGATCGAGACAACATCCTAACTGGTGAGCCACACATACACAAAACATAAAACAATGAGCTGCTGGAGACCAGTGCTACACAGAACAATCTGAATCATAAATACTTTATTGATCCCTGGTGGGAAATGTGTTTGTTAGAGTTGCTCAAGGTGTTCACACAATATTAAAGAATAGAAATACTAGAAAAAAATAGAAAGAAATATAACATAAGAGCCTTTGTATGTACTTTATAATACAATATATACAATAAATGACAATATAGACAGAAGGACACATACATTATATGGATCAGTGGAGTATTACCAATCAAGCACACAGTATTACAGATGTTCAACTGCTTGGACAGAACATTAATATGTATTTAGTTTGTGTAAGATATAGATATATATATCTTAGACAAACTAACAGTACAGGTGTGTCCCCTACTTTAACAGTAAACGTGTTACAGCCGAAAACCTACGAATGACTTCGGTTACCTCCGTCTGTCACGTGATCCGAGTAGTTGCTGTTTACCCGTGGTCCTGCGCATGCGTCGCATCCCTCGGCAAACGTTAAGCTAGCTAACTATTTGTATTTGGTGATAATGCAAGTATTTGTCATTTGTACCCAAACCTGCTCGATGCTGGCAATACTATTCCGGACGACTTGAATTGGAGTCACTGTTTCATTATTTGAGTCGCAGTGGTTCTTTGTTTCCAGTTGCTGAGAAACTCCACTAACCGTCAGCCCCTCTGTTTATGTTGTGAAGTCACGCGGTAGTCCCAGCGGCTGCAGCCGGGTCGGTGGACGGTGGTCGGTGGCTGCTCCTGTGGTGTGTTTGAGAACTGGGCTCGTACTTCACTGCTCTCGAACAACGACTGTAGCCTGCGGGAGAGGGAATGGAGAGCTGGACTCAATAACTCCTGAAACTGTGGCGGCACCAAGTTCACCATGATGTCTGTAAGTTGTGTGTTTGGAGTTTGTCATGAGTTTGCATTTGAAATATTATCTGTGTGTGTGTGTGTGTGTGTGTGTGTGTGTGTGTGTGTGTGTGTGTGTGTGTGTGTGTGTGTGTGTGTGTGTGTGTGTGTGTGTGGGTTGGGGGGACATGTGGTATGGACTTTAGGGGAGCAGACCACAATAAACCCAGAGGAACATAATACTATAGCTCGAAAAAGAGCTGTGAAACCTGTCGGCTGCTGTTAAAGGGTCCATGTAACTAGAGATGGGCAATATGGCTGAAATCACTTAACACATAAAACATAAAGTTAATAATTGAGTTAGTTTTTAGCTGCAGTTTGCTGCTTGGATTCAGGTGCCACTGGTTCATTTGGACAACAGCATTTTGTAAAACGATAACATGGTATAATCATATGATCAAGATACAATTACACTGACAGTCAATGTTTGATGATCTCACATTTTACCCATTCAGATCACATGTGCTTTACAGTGTTACCTAGCATTTTCCAAAGTGGACCTTTTTTTTTCTAATTGTATTATGTGTTTTCGTACAAGAGTCATTTTCACTGTGATTGCATGATGTGTATAATCAGATTGTGCCATCTATGTAATGTTAATGCACATGAGAGGTTCAAACTGGGGCTAATATTTTACACAGAAAACAGTTATAGCTAGAATATTGTATGGTTGAAATGATTAAATGATTAAAATGAAAAAGAAAAAAGACCGCTGAATGTTTGCAAGTTGTTTCACATATTGTGCTACTGACACGAATGGCAGCCAACAATTTGGGAAAAAATCTCAAGAGTCATGGTATTCGTTTGGAAAACGCTCTGCATGAATATACCAGAAAGTATAATGTGCACTATAGCATGTTTGTAGTAGAAACACCGCTCTAGTGGTTTATAGTCTCAACATTCACCTGACAAACACGGTTTGAAAGATAAGCTTACAATGATCACCCTGCCGGGCCTCGCGTTAGATTGTTGACTCAACAATCTATATTTGACTTTCTCTGTGATGGTTTCAAGCTACCTCAAATCCTTGTGCCCTTCGTGTCACTATTACAGCATGTTTGCACTATTTGTAGAGTCTGTTTCTGTAAGGGAGGTTTCCACAAGTTTGACATAAAAAGAACTGGAGTTTAGACAACCAATAAACTGAAAATCACAATGAGCTAATAACTCTCACTCTTCTGCAGAACCGGCTTCTCCTGTTCTCCTGCTGTCCCATTTTTGTCCTATAAAAGATAACATCGGATCTTATTTTTGTGGGTTGATCATTAGGGATGCTCGATATTGGCTTTTCTGCCGATATCCGATATTCCGATATTGTCCAACTCTCAATTTCCGATACTGATATCACTTGATACCGATATATGCAGGCTTTTTACTCCAAAACTGTTGTTGTTGTTGTTGTTGTTGTTGTTAGGTAACAACATAACATATCTCCTATTGTGGAATTAAAATAAGAGAACAACTTCAACTTTCATTGTATTAATACTGAAAAGAGCGTGAACGCTAACCGCTAGATAAGCGCTAGCTTATATTATATATCGATAATATTAATATTATATTATCGACCAATATTCACTAAAAAAAATGTAATATCGGGAATTATCGGTATCGGGTTTTTATAACCGATGTTTGTGAAGTTGTTCTCTTATTGTGCACAGACAGTGTTTACATTTGGAAAGCCAAGGTGCATTTATATAATGCATCCAGTGGGGCATCACAATAAAATTAGGCATAATGTGTTAATTCCACAATAGGAGATATGTTATGTTGTTACCTAACAACAGTTTTGGTGTAAAAAGCCTGGATATATCGGTATCAGGTGATATCGGTATCAGAAATTGAGAGTTGGACAATATCGGAATATCGGATATCGGCAGAAAAGCCAATATCGAGCATCCCTACTTGTTAGCCACGGTTAGCAACCAACCAGCTTGTAGTTGTTGTTGTTATACGTCATCTAGCGCGCACCGGTAAACGTCCCATGCTGCGTTCATGCAGGCTCAGAAATGCTGAAGCCTGCAGAAGTTATTATCGGTATCGGTTATAAAAACCTGATACCGATAATTCCCGATATTACATTTTTTTGTGAATATCGACCGATAATATCGAAGGGCCGATATTATCGGACATCCCTATTGATCATCATTTCTAAGAATATCCTTTCACTCACAAAGATAATTGCTGTGATTTGGGAACAGAGTGACATCACTGAAAAGAAGTCTGACAGGGCAAAAAACATGAGCAGTCAGACAGTCACAGGTAGCCAGGTGTGTCTGGAGGAGAAAACAAAGGACGATAACAAACGATAAAATTATAACCCAAACTGATTATTGTAAACATACATCGCAGTTTACAGACCAACTTCCTGGTTCAGTTAGGGAAGTGTGCATACACCTTTTGGTTTTACCTCCACTTAAATAATCTTAGATGATCTGGCTGAACTGGCTTGTTGACAATCTTTCTGATCATCTCACTGCTCCTCAACCTGATTGAAAAGCTAAACGTGAGGCGGTATACGGAACAATGTTCCTTGACTAGATTGAAAAAGTTATATCCTAGTTACATGATATGAACAACTAGGATGCCTCTCTAGGCTCAGGTTTGTGTTTGTGCTTCACATGACTGGAATGGCCAACATAGACATCATGGACTACAACTTAAAAATGTTTTATTAGTCTAAAAATGCACAATTAATTGAAATATCAATAATTGTTTTATTGTTGGTTTTTTTTTTAAATGTGACAAAAAAGCATTACAGTGAATTAGTGTAGTGCTGCAGAGATTCCCACAAAGCTTGTTCTCCAGATTTAAGAGAACATTTGGTACAGACACCAAAAATGTCACATCATCATGATTTTAATACTTTTTGCATTGAAAATAAAATTTGTTATGCAAAACTAATCATTTTTATCTGTCAAAATAATCGCAATATGCTGTGTTTCTATCATATTGTGCAGCCCTATTATAAAATGTAAGAACATTTAGAGAAGTGCATACTTACATGTTCAGTCGACTAATAGACCTTTTTCACAGCAGCCATTTTGACGCGAAATCATCGGTGTCACGGGTGTTAGCGATGACACTAATCAAGCCTTTCCAGTGAGCCAATAGCAGCACTCTGACCCTGTTTGCCCTAACACCTGTGTTCACCCTGCTGTTTCATGTCAAAATGGCTGCTGTGAAAAAGGTCTATTGATCAAACCACCTGGAGCATGTAGACCTTGAGCATTGTGCAGCTGGTGAGAGACGCTCATGCCAGGACAGGTGGTGCATTAGCAGGGAAGAGAGGGGGGGGAGAGCCTGGCAGGGAGTTACATACACACGCAAACAGTACATTCCTCTGTCAGTCACACATCTACAGCAGCAGGGCAGAACAGAGAGTGCTTTTGTGGGACAATAGGTCCTGTAATTGTGAGGCAAAGTCAGCTGAGTAGGTATTTGTTTGGAATGGCATAAATTGAATCCAAAAATTAGATGTAGAACAGAGGAGGTATTGAGGATGGTACCATTATAATTCTGCATGCACATAGTGTGAATTTACTACAAGAAACAGAAGGAGTACTTCCCAGGACAAGCAGTTCCAAATGGAAAAGTAGATTTACTGTTTTATGAGCACTTTTAAAGAAAAAGTAGTAAAAAGAGGACCGCTTGCTTATATCATTAAGTAAAAACATTGAGTCATTGCAGCAGAAAATGAGGGAGAAGACTCATCTAAGAGCAGTGCAGTATCTCTCACTGATCTTGGTGTGAAGCAGGTCAGCATTGTTGTAACACCTGATCCCGCATTAACCATGTTTCTGACAGTTGAGACGACACTTTTAAACTTAAGATCAGCAGTTAACCAGCACACAGCCGCTTAGAGGTTTTAATATCCTTTTTTTCTTAATTTTAGATGACTTTTGGAATATCAAGCAGCGTGACACTGCTGTTTGACTTCTGGGACGTGCACGGTCCTGCAGGTAAGTTGCACAGTGTCAAATGACATCTCCACTTAAAACACACTGTAGTTTTGTGTCAACAGACATTCCTGTTTCCTGATTGCTCAGCAGACGGTTAAAGAACATCTCATCAAACTCCAAAAAGTACAAATTTGTAGTGTATCTTAATAAAAATATGTGTTTGGAGCATACCCAGCATGCAAATGGTCAGCCATGATGATTACACAGCAGGGAGACTTCTAAGAATGATTAGATATAAAAAGAATTTGGCTATGGCATTGTATCTGATGTGATTCCAAGCAGACTACACCTGTGTGTGTGTGTGTGTGTGTGTGTGTGTGTGTGTGTGTGTGTGTGTGTGTGTGTGTGTGTGTGTGTGTGTGTGTGTGTGTGTGTGTGTGTGTGTGTGTGTGTGTTGCCTTTGTGTCTGCAGGGATGGTGCTGTCAGTGTTTGTGGTCTTGCTGCTGACGGTCTTCTACGAGTTGCTGAAAGTGTGGAGAGTGTGGCTGGGGAGGAGCTGTAACCTGGCCCAGCCTCAGTCTCCGTATTCTGCCCCACTGCCCTACCGCACAGACAGCAGCTCTGTACTGGAGAGCAGCCCCTCCGAGTCCTCGCTGACCCCCATGGCGTCACACCCACCTGATCTAAACACCAGAAACAGGTCAGGGTCATACAAATATGGAAATGCAACTATGTGTAATATGTAATCAACAATGCATTTCTCTATACTCATAGATTGTACTGCAAAATGTAAATAATGCAATATAAGATACAATAAATCAAGATAAAAAAGGCTTTTTGAAAGCAGATCTTCATCAAATGATTAGTGCAGTCCTAGAGGTCAGAAAATGATGGAATCCCGTTTTCACCAGTAAAAGGGAAAAACAGTCGTAGAAGGTCCTAATTTTATCTCCTAATTTTGACAAACCGTGAGCATTTTAAAGTCATGATTCACTTCTTTTTAATTTCTTCTTACTGGTGGAAATGGGTAAACAGTAAAAGCAGTTACATTCTACTGCTTTCTTGACCCTGCTTAACCAGTTTGGGGTGTAAGTGTTGATCATTTAGGTTAAGCTTCACCACTGTAGTCATTTTCTGAGCTTTTTATCATTCCACGGCTTCCTCTTGTTGCAGTGTGTGTAGTTTTCTTGGTGATTTTATGTGCATCTGAGCACCCCCATTCACACTGATCATTAACCTCCCTTTCTGTTAAAGGGGTTAAAAGTTTTACCTATTCTGTCATAATGAGTGAACCCAAGCTAATGATTCTCTCAGGTGGATGTATTGTACTCAGAGTAACTTGTGAATTCCTCTCTTTCCTCTTCAGCTTGTTGCTGCATGGTATCCAGACACTCCTCCACATGCTGCAGGTGTCTCTGGGATACATGCTGATGCTGTGCGTCATGTCCTACAACACCTGGATCTTCCTCGGGGTCATCGTGGGCTCGGTCCTTGGTTATTTCATTTCTTTCCCTCTCCTGGGTCAGATCTGATGGTTCTTGAGTTAAAAGGGTGTGCGTGCTCTCTGGACACTAAATGGGGAAACTACTCGATTGACTAATTTACGCACATTGTTCCGTTTCTCTGGGTACAGTTAGTATTTGAAGATTTTAACACTGAGCAGGGACACAAGGGGAATTCTTTGTATGCTAAAGAATGAGCTGCACAACACTAACTGTCTCCTAAATCTCATCTGGATGTGGAAAACTTCATGCACAAAATCATCTGTCACCAGTTTCTGTCTCCTCCATTTCTGTCCTCGGGAATCAATTGGTGACTTGTAAACCGCTCAAGTGGACATATAAAGTGATAACACTTGTCTTTAACCTTAGGGACGATGTGTGTAACTTGATCATTAAGGAGGTAGTTCTTTTGTGTTAAAGGGACGTTATGTTATTGTGTCAAACAGCAACTATCTAAGTGAGTAATGCATGTGGATTTCAGTTTCCAGGGGAGAGAGTACTGAGAGATGTACAACAATACTCAGATGGGAAGTAATCCATAACTTGTGGCATATTATTGTTGCTTCTGTAAAACAAAATTCTGGTCAACCTTTACGGATGGAAAGCCACTACACAATTTACTGTTCATTACTAAACAATGCACGTGTTAATGACACTACAGTTGATTAAAATGAAACTCATCCTAAAGATTTTTGTTTTTGAGTGCTTAAAAGCACCATTTTGTGATAGGAACCAACAACATAAAGTATTAAGTACACATTCAGTTTTTCTTTTTCGCTGTGTTGAAGTGAAACCTAAAACCTGACTCACACTTGGAACTGTGATTTACAGTGATCATAAGACGTTACTCAGATTCAGGAACTGAATCATGTGATTTTAGCTTGTAAACTTCTCTCATGGGTAGTTTTGGTTCACTGACTGGTCAGAGTCATTGTCACACAGAAGTCAGGGGACAGTGAAATGTCATTGTTTGTCAATGATTGACACAGAGCCAAACTTACAGGCGAAAACCCCAGTTTGAGTGCCTTGCAACTGATATTTGTGATGTGTTTTCTATTTAAATATTCTATTATATTTCTCAAATGGATTCTGATAATCAAAACATTCAAATGTCTGATCACATTAGGGTTGTTTATTGATTTTCTTAGTGGTGGGTTGTGTCATAATAAAAAAATCTCCAAGGAAGAATAAAATATAAAGAATAAGTTGATGAAATGGTTTTATTCATCTGTATTTTTATATATGTCAAGAAGACAAAAGCACTGAAAGGACAAGAGGAGCTGCTCACAGCAAACAGGTTGTGTAATAAATAAACAGATGAATACAGTCAATGGTCCTCCATTGGCAGTAAAAGGTATGAATCTAAATAAAGAAAGCTCAAAATGTGCTTGATACAATGACAATGGATGACTTCACAACAGTATGCTGACTTGTGAGATTGCAACAACTTCTCAGTGTTTAACATTAGATTGCAGCTTGGTCTGTTGACTACAGGTGGTACAAAAGTGAAAGTAATTCACCCATAGAGTGTGTGTGTGATGCTAACGACGAAAAATGTACTAATGTTGATTTTACAGGTTCCAAAGTTTCTGCACATTCATAAGAAGGTTCTTGGAGAGTATGTGTAATTTGATACTTATTCTAATAAAAATGCAGATGTAAAATTATGTGTGTAGTTAATTTACAAATATTCTCTTTAATTCCACTTCTGCTTCCTCTTTGTACTCTGTACCCCCAGAACCCCACAGTCTGTCCTGGAAGAGGGAGTTTTTCCTTATTTCAGGTAATCATACAATTCAACGTGTATGTAAAACCGTACTGTAATTTCCCTTTACTTGGTACCAAATTAAATAGTTTTTCCAGGTATTTTTCTAGGAAAAACTATAAACACCCCAATATTATTATAAAATATAATATTTACAGTTTATCAAACCTGCATTTACAAAACACACACAGATAAGGGGATATAACACTTGTAAAAGCTACTTCCTCCAAATTATATAAATTTAACAAAAAATTTAAACTAGATTGTAAATTCTGCATTAAATAAAAAAAAAAGATTGGTTTTAAATAGAAAAAATGTCACTACAAAAAATCTCCCTCATAATCACGAAGAGAGCTTCTTCTGATTACAAGTTCATCAAAATCCTACACCCACAGTGACAAAGATGAATGAACCCAAATTAATTTAGGTTGTTTTGTTGCACAGTTGCCAAAAAGAGCAAAACATCGTACTTATCAAATTACATGTAAATGTAAATAATTCATAAAATCATGAAATATCTAGTGTTGAAACATAAAGGCCTTTTGTGAATACAGGAAACACTTTTTAAAGTAAACAAACTTCATAGTTTAAAAAAAAAAAGACGTACAAAAATAGATAGCAGTATTTCAAAAGAATAGTTAAAGTACTCATACAGCATCTAAAGGTTGATTGTAGCACCCCCTGCTGCCCAGGTGGAGGTTGTCATCATTGCAGTACAGTTAAAGGCACAATGTGTATATATAATCTGACTGTATATATGTGAGATATATAGAGAAAATAAAGGCCTTATTTCCTACATTACTGATGTAAATAAAAGTTTAGCCTCATTTGAAAACATGAATAACTTAGGTGTAGTTGTTTTGTGTTCCTCCCTTATTCTGTATGTTTAAAAAAAGTGGCTTATCACTTTAAAAACCCTGATCCTTGTGATGGACCCTCAGTCTGTTGGCATAGCATTCAGTAAAGGAGCCTTATATAAATCAGATATACTGAACTCAGTGTCATACACAAAATATGAAGAAAACTTGCATCGAGATTCACTAAGATGCATAGAGAGAAACCAATAACCAAAGACATGTCTAACAAAAAGTCTAGGGGAGGATGAGAGTGTTGGTTTTGGTGTGCAATGTCAGTAACAATAAAAAGCAAATGCTTTGAATTAAAACTTTAAATACAATCCTTATTCAACTTCTCTCCAATAACATGTGATACACATGTAAACTCTGCTGTTTTCTCCAGTTTCAGAGTACTGTTCAGATGATTGTCTTTCCTACGCTAAAAGCACTTCCACTTCTACTGGGTCGATGATTTTATCCTCTCCGTTTAGACTGTTTGTGATTGGCTGAGGCTCACCTTCATCCAGCCCCTCATTGGTCGGGGACTGGAAGCCACTGTAGCTGGAGTCTGTAGCCAGTGGCGGCTTTGGTGAAGACTCGTAATCTGAATTGGTTGCAGAGACCTCAGCAATCCGTTCACTGTCATCTTCCTGCACCGCTATCTCTATTTCCTCTATGGCGTTCTTGATGGCTGCTTCCTGCTGGTGCTCCACCTTCTCAGCTTCCTGCTTCTTGCTTCCTATCAGCTGCTGGAGAATTGTCTGCGGGGACGACTTCTCTCGTGGAGATTTACTGGGGACATCGTCCACCACGGTGGTGACATGTGTCACAACCTCATGCACCCCGTCCTCCATAGTGACGATTCCTGTGGTCGGCTCCGTCCCGTTGGTCGCGTCGCTCTGACTCTCCTCTGACACGGGCAGCACCATCTCCACCACGGGATTGATCAGGTCTCGGATTTCATTCACGCTGTCAGGAGACTTGGGATCCTCAGGCAGGCCCATGTCCTCCTCTAAGCCCTCAGACATCTCGGCATCTTCCTCTGGGATAAGCTCCACACCTGGGACCTCCAGGCAGGACTCGTACGGCAGAGGCACCCCGTCCAGCTGGATCATGGACACCACCTGCCTCCGTCTTTTCCCAGAACCCCCTCCTTCAATACCGCCAACATTGACAGAGCCCTCCAGCTCATCGCCCCCAAATTTAGTAGCCCAGTCCACTGAAGGGTTTTCTCCGAGCAGGTGCAGGTTGGGGTCGCTGTTGGTCAGAATGATGCTGTCCCTGTACAGATTGTGTCTCCTCTGGACAGCTGCTTCCTTCACAGCTGGATGAAGGAAGAAAACAAGAAAATCAAATGTTAGATAATGAACCACTAGTATTGCCATGGCAACTTTAACATCTTGAGCTTGTGTTTTTTTGGCCCTCACCCATCATTATGTCCTTGGAGACAGACTGAAGCACCACCTCCTCGAACAAGTTTTCCACCAGCAGGAAACGGGAGAAGTCCTCAAAGATTAGCTCTTTGAAGCGAGGCAGCTCCTGGGGATGAGGGGACAGAGATGAACTTCACAAAGCTTCCAGCGTGCAATGCTATCTCTCGATAACTTATTGATATATAATGTTTCTGATCTCTTCAGTAAGCATGCATCCTTGCTGATGCTTGCATGTGTTTTCAGGGAGGGTTGAATAAAAGTCACACTCATCAGCTGGCCGGGGTTGCATGCTAGCAGGAGCCACTGATTTAGATACAGCAGTAGAGCTGCAACGATTAATTGATCAGTTGTCTATTATTAAATTAATTGCTTTTGATAATCAATTCATCAGTTTGAGCCATTTGTTTAGAAAAAAAGAATATCTTTGGGTTGTGGACAAAACAAAACATTTGAGTCACCTTAGGCTTTGGAAAACACTGATCACCATTTTTCACAATTTTCTAGACCCATCAACTAATAGATAAATTGAGGAACTAATCTACAGACTGACAATGAAAAAAGCCGCCCGATGCAGTAGATAACAACACTAATGGTAACTATTACTTCTATATGTATGTGCATAGGTTGCATTCTCAGTGCTTCTGGTGTGAGATGAGCTCAGTGGGTCCTGTAAGCTATATAGCAAGCTGCTTTTTGCTATTGGAATTTTTACCTAAGCCTTTAGATTTTTGACCTTAAAGGCATAGTAAGGTATACTGTAATGCATGCAATTTAAAGAGGGTATAAAATGAGTATTGGGAAATGTAATGTGAGGCTATGTTAGGTGCTACTCACAGGTGAGCATGTTGGCGAGAGCTGCTGCAGCATGTATGGAATGATGATCTGCAGCAGAGCCTCTCTGAAGAACTTCTTGCGCACTGTGCTGCTGTCATAATCATATTTCTGACAGGGAAAGAAACACATATAGAGCTCAGTGACTTGTAATAGCTTCTCTACTCAATGGAAAAATCATCTTCACTTTAGCAAGTCACAACATCATTCTGATCTCCTGAAACCTCCGCTTCCCTTTAGGAGTAAAATATACTGTATATCCAGACACTGTCTGAACTTGGGTTTCTTAATTGTATTAACCTTCACTGTGTTAGGCTGGAGGCAATATCTCAAAATAAAATCATCTGCATGTCTAGATTCCACTGAAGGTCACTGAAATATATATATATATATATTATATATGATACTCAAAGTCAGTTTTCTAGTATCATTCTTTATTCTGTAGCTAGAACACTGAAAAAACTTTTTTTTACCTTGAGAACCCTGTCCTGGCATCGCTGGATGTTCTTGCACATGTCCTCCTCTCCCTGGGCCTCTAAAGACTGCTGCAGCAGCTGCTCAAATGTGTACACTGCATTGTCCATTTGCTGTCAGAATAGTAATATTATATTATTAGTTCATGTTCATTGTTAATAATAAGTTAGTCAGCTCACATTGTTCATCTTTACAAAGTGTCATACTCTTTTTGTCCAGCAGGTGTAGGTAGAGACTTCACCACAGGCAGAACAGGTTGCTGGTGTGTGCTGTCTTACTAGGAACTGGGGCGTGTTTCCAGGCTTCCTGGTACTGCTTTGGTGCATACTGATTCTTTGTATTATATCATAGAGAACTGCTGTAGCACCTTACCTCCCTCATCAGGATCTGAGCCCTGCTGACGAACACCGAGGGGCTGGAAACGTCGAACCTCTGCTGCAGCCCCTCCAGATTGAGCTGCTCCACCTTCTCATAGGAGCTCTGCATCTTCACTGGGTGGAAGGCGAGCATGGACAGCCTCTCCATGTGCTGACCGTAAGACAGATAGAGGAGGGTTACGGTGAGCAATGGGGTACAGTGGGGTACAAATGCATCATATGCATATCCAAAACAGAGAAAAAGGTTGACTTGATCTTTCAGGATCAGTCACCGAGGGCAGCTGAGGACACGCCCTGACTTCTAATGAAAGACTAGCACTAACATGGCCATGGCTTCCACAAACAAACACAGTGTCTTTTCATGCATTGTAATAATTGTATTATAACCAAAGGTCAGGCAATACCCATTGCATTCATAAGTTAACACCATAACTATATTTTCTAAAAAAAATCTGTCAGGTATAAAGCTTAGTTAGGTTTCTGTCTGTTCTTTGATTCTGTGATCATGTAAAGTGGTTTTGTGTGAAAAAAGCAGTGGAAGAAAAATTTCCTGTTACAGTTGATGACGGAAGTTACAGTGTGGCTGCTAAAGCTGTCTTAGTCACATTTTATACAAAGGTATAGTGTGTAACATTTAGGAGGATCTATTGGTGTGTTTTCATAACATTAGAATAAGCTATTTTTATCTAACAGTGGCGCGGGTCCTCTCCTTCACAGTCAGACATGTTGAACTGCCATGTTTCTACAGTGGCTCAGGACAGACAATCCAAACACTGGCTCTAGATAGGCCCTTTATAGTGAGTTGTGTGGCCACTGTACTTTCTCCTACACACTTAGAAGGCTGAGCAGTTAGTTGGTTGCAATCTGCAACTTCACCAATAGATGCCACTAAATCCCACATACTGGTCCTTTAACACTGAATCAAATGGCTATGTTTAGAAATCTAAAAGAAATAACTAACTCTTTACATTTACAGCATTTTCAGCTTCAACTAACACATAACTGGCCATAACTTTATCAGATGACTCACCTCTCCCAGTTTTTCTTTGCCCCCTCCATTGAGTGAGTTCTTGCTGATCTCCACCAGCTCCCTGAAGAAAACTTCCCTGACCTCGGAGAAACCTCGGCTGGTGGGCTCCATCAGGGCCTCCAGGATGGAGCTGATGTAGGGCTGGACACTGTTCCGTAGGAGCTGCTCCGCTTTGGGCAACACCAGAGCTGCACACCAGCAGCGACACACGTAGGAAGGAAGAAAAAAACATATTCATGGTTAGTTGCTGCAGCTTGTAAACAAGGAACACTGCAGATGATGATGAAGAGTCCGTTCAGGCATGAAGACAAATATAAAGCGGACTTCATAGGAACTCTGCAAATATGTAAAGTCAATGCACAGTGCATTGTTTGATCACAGGTGGAAATGGTTGGTATGTGTGTGATGACACTGAAGTAAACACACTTGAGCAGTTTCAGTGGAAGCCCTGCAGCTTTCGTTCACTAAGATACACCCAATTGCTAGTAATGTAACCTGTGCTAAGAGAAGCCGACAAAATAAAAGTCACGGCTAGGTTTACGGCTCTCAAACGTCTGCACTACCCTCATGTAACTTGAACCTGCATCGGTTTGTGCAGCTGACTTGAAGTTTCGGGCCATATATGTGAGATAGAAAGTCAGAAACAGCCCATACAGTGCAAGTGATGGAATGCAGTTCAGCCACTTTATCTCAATGGGAAACAGTGTGCATGAAAGAAATGAGCAGCCTGTGCCAAGTTAACTTTTGAATAAAAGGTTGACAGGCTCACCACTCAAAGGGTGGATGCTCTGGTGCTGCGGAGGCCAGCTAATCAAACAACAGACTTAAATGCAAAGTGAAAATTATGAGGAGAAAGTGGAGAGAGTAAAAGAAGAGTTGGAAAATGTCAGATATGGAAAGAGGTTTAGTTACAGAGGAAAGGCCCTGTTAGTGCCAAATGTCCAAACAAACTCATTGGAAACTTGAGCAGTGTGGCGTTATTCAGTGACCAGACTGATCGCTTCACGGTGCCAACAATCCCTGAACCAGAGAAACCACAGCTACATCTCAATGAGGCAAACAATGAGGCATGCACTTGAGGTCAGGATGATCATGTTACACAGCACACAGAGCACCAAGTGAACCAAGTCATTTTACATAACACGTTGGACATGTGTAATTAGGTAAACTGAGGTGGTGTTCAGTCAAAAGTAGATTAATGTATTAATCAAAAGAAAACTGTTACTTATTTAATTCTGTCTGGGAACATTTCTCTCTGTCTTTTTTTATTCATTCCTTCCTAACCATTGATCCAAATGTACTGCCTGTGTTAAACTGGAGTCCCTCTACCTCTCTTACTCGCTGCAGCTATCTACAGCTGTGATACTTTTTGCTTCTTTGTAAAGTAAAAACAGTTTTTAGTTGTTTTAGAACAGGTGAAACCACATCTTGGTGTCTGGGATAAAACTGGGTTAAATTTGGTTGAAAAGTGCATTTCAGTGACTATGTATCAATGTGTAGTTAGGATGTGCTTTACAGTGAGACATAGTCATTTAAATAATTTAAAAACACATTTACCCATAGGCCTCAGTATCAAATATGTCAGATTTTCTGACTACAAACTTCTGGACAATGCAAAAGGTACGTTAACGTCACTGACTATAGTGCAGCCAAAAATATTCAACATATAGAACAAAATGCATCACAGACTGCCCTGCCTTGTGTTTACAACCTAAAAATGGATGGGAGGACAGTGAAACATTCTCTGTTCATTTGTCATGTTGAACTGATTATGACAAATCTTCACTGCCCTCTCAAAATAAGAAGATTCATTTTCCAAAAGTCAAGAAGACTGGTGCATATAGTTATTTGGTTACCTCGTATCTTGTTGTTGACATGTTCTTTAGATGTGATGATCTGGTCCATGTCGGTTCGCAGTCTGGCGTCCAGCGAGACTCTCTGGGCCTCACAGGCTTCGGCCAGTGCGTCATACTGACCGGTGGTCTGAGTTAACACCTGCTTGTACACTGCATCAGAGATCTGGAGGAGAGAGTCTTGTTTGAGTCCCTCTTGTGTTTGTACAGCATGTCCACAGTGCAGGAACAATAAAGTAGAGACTCACCAACATCCAATTCCTCTGCTTCTGCTGCATCTTCCCCTTCAGACGAGGACCAATCACGTTTCTCAGCTCTGGGTGGAGGGTCTCCATCACCAGATTAGCCAGAATCTGTACACACACAATATATAGTATTTATGTGTTTGAAATAAAAATGAAAGACATCCTGTTTTTTCTTGCAAAAGGTACATAATGGTTAGTTCATACTGCGAGCTACAACGTCAGACCGGCCTTTTCACCAGATACAGGATGTTATAGTTACTATGGCAATGTGCCCACTGGGGATTATTACACTATAGGTGCAGTCAAAAAACAACCAATATCTCCACCCAAAGAAAAACAAAAATAAAGCTTAAAGCTTTCCTTTGTGGTTACAGTGGGGCGATTGAGATGATACACAGCTGGACACAGAGAGGCAGGAAAGCTGGTTTTAGTGGCACTGCCCTCACACACACACACACTAAAGCTAAGCACTTCCATGAGGTTTTAACTGAACTAAATATTTGGTGAAACATGTTGCCAGGTAATGAATGGCTGTGACAAAAGCAGAATAGTTTTTCCACACAGAAGAACAGAAAGGTCTGACAAACAACAGGTACACTGCAGCCTGTTTGTCTAAAAGCTTGTTTGTCTGGAAGTAGAGTACATAGCACATTTAAATGGTGTTTTCTCTGCATTATTGTTGCTTTAGAGGCTGTGACTTGTGTTGCCTTGCTCTGACTTTGTCATAGTAGTAAAAGTACAGGTGTTACTTGGCTCAGTAAGCAGTGAGAGTGACAGTGAGCCAGCAGGCACAATACCAGGACCCTGAAACTGAAGCAACTAAATGGTATTCAACCATTCATTTTATTATTTATACTTTTCTTTTAGATTTTCCAACATCATCAATGTCAAAATGAATGAAAAAAAGAATGAAAAGGCCTATTTGCTTGTGTTTCATGTCAGTTGGCTCTTAATTGTATTTCTGACCATCTACGTATGTGCTGCAGCTATTTTTCTTTTGGGTATTGTTTGGTGGGTGCATTATGATGCTTTGTGTTAGTATTGAAATATGAATAATATGACGGTTATGGGCTGATTTGGTCTTGCTGGGTTTTTTTAGGGTGCGTTTCCTTTTGGCTCAATGCAAACTCCTAGAAATGAAAACATTCACAAAATGATTTCCACCTGGCTTTTGTGACATACAGGATAAGGAGTCACATTCACTGCTCATGTGTTTAATGTGACAGCTTGTTTTACTATTACTTGCACTTTAACAGCTGAGCTCTTATTCTCTTATATATTCTTTTCCTTTCTGGACTCATAAAGCTCATATCTACATACAGTGCTGATGGTCATCTTCTGCTTATGTTTACCCTTCTGTATTCACATAATAGATTAAAAATCCACATGAATGTCTGATAGGGAGAAATATCCGTATATTCTCCTAAAATGTCTCATAGCACTGTCTTTTGCTCAGGATTAACCAGACACTATCTCCACACATGATATGATACTGTTGACAATGATTCAATAAATTAATTATATTTAGTTTGTACTGTATTATGCTATCAATATCGCCAATCATTATTGAGCCATGATCTCAAGACAGAGAACTCCTGATGCTTGTGTTCATATATAACCGCTAAGAACATAAGTATGCTGTCAAAGAGACAACATGCCCCTTTTTTAATCTGGGTTTATTTTAAGTTTTGGCTACTTGGGAGACCTTCACAACACACATCCTGTATCAATACCTATATTATCACATTTGATCCACTGTGAATATAAACGTAACAAATGTATTGTTGTAGCTTGATCATGTCCATGTAGCTGAGTGTAATGTTCAAGGAACTAGGGCACACTTCGATACAGACAGGAAGCATGGAGATTAATGAAGAAAAAGTGGCTGCCATAAACACACAGAGCAACTATGAAGCACTAGCAGGGGACTGAAAGGGACTCATTCAGAGGGGGAGACCCCAATTAACAGTGTGTGTGCGTGTGTGTGTGTGTGTGTGTGTGTGTGTGTGTGTGTGTGTGTGTGTGTGTGTCCTTGTGAATGCTGGTATGTTGAGGGGTGGGGTCTTGTTGCTGACAGTCTCTTTGAAGGTCTTGTGTAGGTGCATTCTTGTACTATAGTGTGAGGAAAGGGTGTGTGTTCAGGGTGTAGATGGAGTGTTTTCTTCAGCTATATTCATTCAGAAAAATCTAAAAACAATTTTCTATCAATGCAAGTCATCCATCATTGTTCCCTCTGAATAGTTTGAACTATGGCCTGGACCTGAACTTTGGACAGGTACTCACAGAGACTGTTTGGAAACAGTTCCTCAAAATCTCTTTTAACTGTCACCTACAGCTAACACAATACCCTCAGTGTCAATCCACCTCCCAAGAGGGAAACATAAGTCCTATCAGGGGCTGGATCTTCAGAAGGATGTAGTCCATGAGGGTGGTTCCTTTTGAGAACCTGCAGCCAGAGCTCAACCTCCCAAAATCTAGTCTAAAACTAATGGTCCATTCAGGTGCTCCTCAGACTTTAGAGAATCCAGCCTCTGAACTGGGAAACAACTGTATTGTGATTAACCCTAGATCCTGACCTGTGGGGGCTGTCCACACATCATATCCCAGGTCCCGTAGTGTCCCTTGGCTTGTCTGTGAAGCCTCAAAGCATCAGTGAAGGCTGGTGTCTGAACAGTGCTCTCCTCTGGAAGACCTGTTAGGGACAGGGAAGAGAAGGTGCTCGGTAAAGACGTAAAACAAGATGCAGTTGGCTGAAATGATCTCAGTAGCAAGATGGTGGAATGCTTTTATTTGTGTATTTCTTTGTAGTGACGTAAGGTAACACTTTGCAAATGGATGTTTACTTGGTATGAGATGAACAAACGTGGGGACATTTCACTGGCTTGCAGATTACCAACACTAACAACTGTTTCCATAACATCTGAGTCAATTCTACGAGACGGTCTAAAAGTGTAATTTTGGCCAGCGGTACATTCAGTTGCTGGACAACACACGCGCACACTCAGCCCCTATCACACACAGCTGTGTCATCCCTCAAAACAGGAAGATGTTGGCTTGTTGGAGGACAGATTTCATGTGGTTGCTATGGTTACTGCCCCTCCCAGACAACAGGACAATAGAAGCACTCGGCAACATGCGTGTGTTTTTAGGAAGTTGGTTCTTGTCATGTGGTTGGATGAAAATACATCACTAGCTGAAGAGCTGCCTCTCAAGGCCACAGCAAGGGGGACACAGAGTGCTGAAAGTCATTCATCCTTCACAAAAGAGTATAAACAGGTGTATGGAATAAAACATCCCTATAATTAGCAGTTTGTCCTTCAGAGCAGTCCCTCCTTTAAATAAAAGTGACTAATGCATTTTTTCATGGCAACAAGAGTCAGTCCCTCTGACGCACAAATGTGTAATTAAAGCATGCTGTTTTCAACCCAGACCTTATTGAAATGTTGTTTACCATCATGTGCAATGGTCAATGATATAGGCTACAGTAGCAACTTCAACAATAGCAGCAATACTGTTTTTATAGGCCTAAACACTGTACCTCTTACTCAAGTACAAGTAGATATACTACAATGATACAGATTTTCTAATGAACTGACCATCCCAAAACAACTGATGCAACTGTTTGTTGAGGCTGTTCTGGACATTACAGCGTCCACTCTTGCTGTCTTGTGAGGCTGGTTCCTCTTGAGGTGCCAATAAATGAGAGACAAGAATGCAGAAGTTTCCTGAACTGCATAATGGATAAATTGCTGGTTTACCCAGAATGTCAGAGTGATAATGTGTTTGTTGTATATGTATGTTGTGTTATGCACACGCATCAATGTGCACGTATGTGTCTTAACAAGTCGGTTTGCTGTAAGTCTGGTTGACAAAGACAGGAAGTGACCAAGGAGTGAGGAGGGGGAGAAGGTAGAGCCAGACAGGAAGCCATGTCTGCTCCCGGTTCACTAACTCTTTGCTGACAGGCCGAGGGTCGGTGTGTTAGCTTGCTTTGGCACAAGCTTTCATGAGAATTCACTGGACACTGAGGTTAGAGGCACAGTGGGGAAATAACAGCACAGACAGCTGCCATGTTGGCAAGTGACCAGCCATCATTTGGAGGTCAAATGCAGTGAAAAGTGTCTGAGCTTCGCAGCAGCAGGAGGGCCTATAATTTACCATCTTTGTATAAGACAGATACCCACAACTGATTTTCATGTCAACAGCAACCACATGGCCTTAATAATGTTCTTAAGCAACCAATAGTCAACCAACCTTTTTCCAATGAAGACAATTTATTTGGATGGTTTCACATGGCTGAATCTTCATGGAAGGTATTTTACTTTCTCTGCCAAAACTAGCATACTGGCCAAATCTGAAATTATACTGTGGAAATTACATTGTGTTGATAGTTGCATAAGGTGCATTCACAGACATTACTATGTTACACTACCTGATATTAACTTGTTCGTACTTCAGCTTAGAACAACACACCCTAAAAAAAACCTGCAACTTTTATAATGACTACCAATGCACACACTGTGAGGCACGCCTCCTAAGGAGGACATGCGAGTTAAAATGTTGGACGTGATGGTATTTGAGTCAAAAAATCGTTCTCTCTCTCTGAGTGATACATTTGTCAAATCTTACAACACAGACATGATACTTTTAAATTTAAGTGTCTCTTACGCTTTCCGAGGAAAACGGAAATCTTTAAAAGGATGTTCCTTATAACCACCACCATCAAGTTTTCTTCAGTATCAAAGTAATCCAGTGGAAGAAGTCTGTACATCCATGGGTACATGCAAACAGGAAGTGTTAATATCTAATTAGGCATACTAAAAGCCCACCAATTATGGGAACTGTAGTAACTTAGAGCATGATTATCCCACAAATAGAAGTAAGACAAAGAATAGGGTTGACAAAATCAGTAATATCTTTTCATATTGAACCATCAATGTTTCTAGCTGCAGTTATAAATCAGTACCCTATTGTTGTGTGAGTTATGAGAAAGGATGCAGCAAAGACTGTACCATTGCCAAGTACTATTTAGAGCCCCTAAAATAAATAGTAATTGTAAATAGTGGGGCTACAACATTCAGTCTTGGTGGTTATCAGATTTATTGTATGATGACGTAGAATACATTCTTGAACAATGTGCTAATTTCTCTATTTCTAAAACTTAAATAGTAGTTGGAAGTGTTTCTAAGAATAAATAAGTAATTTGGGTTAGGGTTACATGTAACACTTTTAGGGAACTATCTATGGCCAGATTATCAGTGTGAAAAACCTGCAAGTGAAATCTTCTACATTCTCAACTTGTTGCCCACAAGAGAAATTTCCTATCAGTGCCAAAAAAAAAAGGAAAATATTTTTTGACAATCTGCCAGCACTGCAAACCACTACACATTTCTCCATGTGTCTGAAGTAAGCTAGATCAAGGGACAGATTACGGTTTCCCTGCAATGTGTGTGCTGTGTGTGTGTGTGTGTGTGTGCTGTGTGTGTGTGTGTGTGTGCTGTGTATAAATAGAACATGTGGCAGCACTTACCACGGTCTCTTTATGTGAGGCATTTCCCTCCCTGCCTTGCTTGCCACACTCTGGTTGGTGGGGTTTTAGCTGCAGCTGTGGATGAGTTCCCAGGACTTCACATCCACAAATGTTAATATATATTGGTATTTTAAAACCTATTAAGCATTTGGATGTGAAATATGGTCTGATTAGACTTCAGGCCACCTGCCTTCACATTGTAGAAGGTTTTAAACACTTCTTCCAAACCCTCACACTGCTGCAGCTCCCATCGACACGCATGAGAAGGATTTCCCCATATGGTGCAGCCCTATGGAACCAGCCAAACCCACAGTACAATAAACACTCACTGAAACATACCATCAGCCGCAGACATGACAAACACATGAGTGAATAAGATCCCTGCCTCCAGCTGCAGTGAATGAGAGGAAGCTGGATATTCTGTAGTGGTGTATTTTGTATATTAGTATTTGTACATTATTATTTTTTATCATATAGCATGCTGGGAAGCACACTGCTCTGCTACCTTTGATGTGCCCATTGCAGGTCTGTTCTTGCTGAGTGGAATTAGTCTGAGGTCTGATCAGAGCAGAGGGCTGGTGACTGGTTTTAAAGGCTGTGGGGGTGGAGAGCTGGCTGTGATTGATGGTTCTCTAGTGGCCCAGTGGCAGCTCAGAGCAGTCTTTGACTACTAATGTGACGCAGTATCAGCCTGGCTGCTGGACTGCTGCCTGCAGTTCAAAGAGAACCTATCATAAGGGCTTTGTTTGTATTATCAATTATAGGAGGTGTAGGATTTAGTGGCATTTAGCAGTGAAGTTGCAGATTGCAACTAACTGACCACCACTCGCATCTGTGTTTGATGACCTGGGAATGAGAACAAGGTGTGAAGCATGTAAGAGGAACTACAGTGGCTGTGAGGCCCTAACTAGAGCCAGTATTTGGTTTGTCCATTCTGGGCTACTGTAGAAACATGACGATTTAAAATGGCGAAAAAGGCGACCCGCAGCGTCTGACGATAAAACGATTCTTATATCCAGATGATCATACACTAATGAAAACATTCCTATAATTTTTATTCTTTAGAAAAAAATATATTTCATTTCTGCCAATAGATCCTCCTAAATGTTACACACTGGACTGGACTGTTTTTAAAAAAAATTACATTTTCCGTTTTGAGAACCCAAAATGTCCTCTTATTGCTTGCTTTCCTTCACCAGTACCAAAATATATAAAATTATCTATTATATAAAATGAAAAGCAGAGAATCGTCACATTTTAGAAGCTGGAACTAGAAAATGACTTCTGCTGTTAACTGACTCTAAAAACTGTTGTTGAGGAATATCCTGTTGATCAGCCGGTTGAATAATAAACGGATCGCATCAGGATTATACATCATCGTGTTTACTTGTCAAGTTTATTATGAATCCAACCTTAAATTGTGATGCTATTATATCACTGGAGACTTTCTGAGTTGCCTGCAGCTTTATGGAAAATTTCAGTTTGGGCATATTGGGACCAATTTGAGTCATTATAACATTTGACTCACTCGGTTGATTATAGAGCAAAAGGACACGTTGGCTCCACTGTAGTCTACAGAGCTTTACAAAGGTCAAGCATCCAGAGCAGTCAGATTTAAATCTCTATCATTCTACCTAAACTACTTATTTTGAAGCGTAAACAAAGGTTAACCTGTCATAGTTACCATGCTTGCGGTTTCAAAATGCAACAGATGACTGTGAATCCACTAAGGATATGGACGTGGCTTTTTTGTCTTTTATGGCTCAACTCTGTGGTGCAAACATTCAGACTGACACGTCGACCAATCAGATGGGCGCCCCCTTTGAGTTGTGCAGAATAGCGTGATGAGGTTACCTGTTAACTGAGCTGATTAACAGGGTGCTTTGCAAGTCATCCTGTTAAAGCAATGCAAAGCAGCAGCTGATCATTTTATTGCCGAGCTATTGAGGATAAAACAACAAGAGCTGTTAGTGGATTCAAATAGGTCGCCAATGTGTCAGCGAACATTTAACTTGTGGTTTTACTTATCAAAGCCAGCTGAACGGTGTCAGTGTTCAGCTGAGAGACTGCTTTGCATGAAGCTTCTGTGCTGCTAGCAGTTTATTCTTCATGGTTACTGCAGCATCTTCTGTACTATGACTGACTGACACCATGTACTCCTCAGATGCCTTCTCCTGTACATCCAGATAGAATTGCTACTAATGATTAAAAAAATTTGGGGGGGGCAGGGTTGTAAATGTGTGAATGTGTATGTATGTATGCATACGAGTGGAGTGAAATAAACCACAGAGAGGGCAGGGGTCGGGCTGTAAAACCATTTATCACCCCCCGGAAAAGTATTTTACCGGTTCTGGTATTCCTCAAAACACCGACATGACAGAGGTGAGACTGGGCGTGTCAACACAGGCCAGAAACATGAATGCCAATCCACACTGACACCAGCAAAGGCGACAGTGAAACAGCCACACACTCTGTTCCTCACAACATATTCCTGGAGCCCTGCCTCACAGCTGGAATGTGTGGCAGGGACTGTGACGTTTACTGAGCATGCCCCAACAGGTAGTGTTGGGAAGTAAAGGGGGGGCTAGACTGGATACAGACAGAGGCTGATTTTGTTTTACAGTCAAAACATGTTGCACTAAAGTTGGTATTTGCCCATTGGCTGGTTTTAACCAAAACCTTCCTAAACTAAAGAAATGTAGCCCCTGTTTTTTGGGGCTTGCAATGGATGTTTTCAAACCAAGCTGCTAGCATTGTCTGAATTAAGTCAACACAGTTGGTTGGCACAATAGGTGGCTAAGTGGAAAACAAGGTGGAATCAGGTTGAGCAACTTTATCAGCCTGGTGATGAGCTTAAAGCCAGTGTGTTGTGTCATTTCTTGTTTCATAGACAGTATAAAGTTTAGCTATATTGTTCATGATACAGGATTGTTTAGGCTTTAACTTACAGTGGAAACATTTAGACAAACTATAGTGCACGCCTGCTTGCATCTTTCTGGGCAGGTGCTGAGTGATTTGATGCAGCTGACTTAATGATTACAATGAAACCTTGTGCATGATGATCACTTAAAGCACGACTACAGATAATTTAGCCATACATTAGCTTTCATGTGAGAAAGGCTGTCGAAACCTAAAAGCTTAAACAACACAAACAGTCTTATAATTATGTGTGTACACACCCACAGGCATGTGAAGCCACAGACTTGTGTATGTGCGTGCTTCAAATTAGGGTCAGGTGAGGTAAAGTCTTTGTAGATCAAATCATCCACGCAACAGAGAATATGGACGTTCCTTAGTTAATATAAAGTTAGTATTTTGCTGTTATTGTTTTATTAGGTTAAATTAAAAATCTGCTTGAATGGACTTTGGACTTGAATGGACTTTTGGACTATATTAAAATAATATAGGCCTATTGACCGCATGTGGTTAATATCTTTCAAGTCAAAATAATAGCATTATTAAATTTATTAATACGATAAAGAAGGCATGTAAAGATGTTGACACGTGGTTAGAATATTGTCTGTGGCAAATGTAAAAATGTGGATTTATTTACAACAATATGTAATTATATGTATCTTAGACTCAAAGATTCCTGTGATAGAAAAACTGGAAAATGAATACAACCTGGATACTTCAGCATCTGTAAATCTCTTGTAGAAAGAATTCCCATATATAGATATGTAGTAAGTTCATAATACGTATGAGAGCCTTTATAAATAATCTACACTTGATCTACAATCACGAGCACGAACACCACGAGCCTTTGCAGACAAGCCTGATCACATTAACTGCAGCAGTTTGTTTATCGCTGAGTCTTCTAGTTTCGTATTTTTATCTCAACTTCCCCAATGTTCCCACTCATTCTGATTGTCACTGCCTTAAGTCTAAATAAAGCGCTACTGAATGTGAGATCACACTTACACACACGTGCCTACATGCACATAACCACAAAAATGTAGCTTGACTCTCCCCAAACGAAGACAGTCTCCCTAGGTTACAAAATTTAAAAATACCTATCAGTTAAAACTTGGTGTATTATCTGCATGTGGCTAACAAGGTTTGGAAGCAGGCCAATCATTTACACCACTTTAGATTCTTCTGTACAAAGCCAAAGGTGTAGCCGAGAGACACTCAATGACAATACAACAAAAAACAAAAGATTACATTATGTTTGCACATCCTCTCTGCCCTCTGTGTCTCAACACAATGACACATAAGTCACGCCAGCACAAGAACAAACCTTAATAGAAGATCAAGAGTAGTTCTCCACCCTGATAAAACAAACCATCCCCTAATGCACCATCCTCCAGAACATACCATAAATTCACAAATAAAAGCCAGCACTCAAATAATGGTCAAACAAATAAAGGCTTGTGCCATAAAAAACCTAATCAAAAAGGGAAAAGCTGCAACTCATTACCACTACCTCAAGCTTTTGATTAATACATCATGTGTTATTTCCATTATCCTGATGTTTAGATAGACTTTATGTAAATATTTGACAATAAAAGCCCTCTATCAAAATGAAGGGATTAGGACGTTAATTAATCATTTGTGGTAAAAAATGAAAATTTCTCTAAGCTCAAAATGCTTGTTTTGTATGACCTACATCTCAAAACCCAAAGTTATTAAAGTTCATTGGTGATACAATAATTTAAAATAGATAAAAGCAGCAAATCCTCACATTTAACAGGCTAAAACCAGACAAAAGTCAACATTTTTGTTATATAAATGGCTTGAACAATAGATCAACTTTTATCCCCTCCTGGTTTTAGTAGTAGAACGGAATACACTAACATCAAGCTTCTCTTTATTATGACATAAAATCATGAATATAAAAGCCTGTCTCAAATATAAGACTGGTTCTGCCTTCAGTTGAATAAGCTTAGGGTTAGTCTTCTCCTAACTATTTGAGTGATGCAGATTGTCTGTCTCGGCTGTTAAAACTGTAACATTCGTATCCAACGACATCATGCCACACTGTAACCAAGACCAATGAAGAAAACAACAACAAATAACAAACATCATTCCTGCAAGATTTTACATTCACAGATCAAGCAGCTAATTCAGATGGCATGTAAAGGCTTCACACTGTGACACACACTCACACACACCCTCATCTGAGCCGCAAACAATGGTAGCGAGGCAGAGAAAGGCACTAAATGTGCAGGGTGGAGCACAGAGAGAAAAGCACTGCTGCTGTTCAAATGGCGCACAGTAGGCTCTGGACAGCTAAATTAATTGACTGAACTTATGCTCATCATAGTTTTCAATAAATAATGAATAATAAACAATAATAACTTAACGCTACCGGGGACTTCCCTAGTGCTATTACTGCTTCACTTCTACTTCAGCAGAAGTGAGGTCATTGTGTTCTTGTGTGTATTTTTACCATTGTTAGTGTGTCTGACGCAGTCCTGCAGCACAGCGTGCCACTTCTTCTGCTCCTTCTCTGTCATCACACAGAAGTAGTGGTGGCGGGCGTACGGGTGCCACAGGATGAGGGGGAACTCGGTCGCACACTTGATGAACGGATTATTGCCCACTTTGGCCGTGATACCTGCAACAAGCCATATGAAACTGCAAGATTTGGAAAGCACTTTAAAGAAAATAAGAAAATGAAGCTGAAATGTGTAAAAAGATCTGTTGATTTAAAAAGGGAATTTAAACAGTGACAGATTTTGCCCATTTTCAGTTTTTACCTTGGATTAATGATTTGCTCTCTATAATGGCAAAAAAAAGCAGATTCTGATAAATACAATGGCAAAAAAAAGCAGATTCTGATAAATACATTTGGATGAAAGCGAGACGTACTGAAGTGTAACAACGTACATAATGTAATTGATGTTTAGTGTTCTACTATAACTCAAAAGTTTTTAAAAACAATAGTCAATAATAGATAATAAATCAATACTGAATTAATGCCCAGGCAGAAAGTTAACAAATATATATGGTACAATTTTATTAACAATTTGTAGCCATATTTTGTAATATATTGTCATATTTACAGTTGATTGGTAACGTTCTCTGTATTTCCTTTTCCTACCTGGCAGGCTGGCATTAATCAGCTCCATGTATTCTTCCATTGAGGTCAGCGCCTTGTACCCGGCGCAGTTGATGGTCATCTTCGGGTGAAGGCCCCGTTCGTGTGCCTATTAGAGACACAGCAAGCTGTTTTAACAGACATGTCCAAATCATGGAATCAGACAGCTGTTTAGTCGAGTAAGGAGCACACTCACTGTTTTGCTCTCATAGAGGCTGATGATGTAGCTGTTTGGCACAGATACAAAGCGGTTCCTCCATTTACGATTCTCCTCCAGATACTGAAACAAACTCCCTGAGAAGATGAAGCGGCCTGCCAGAGGGTCCTGAAAAGTCATAGAGACGGCACTGAAGCATGATGCATTGTCATATGTTATGTATCACTGAGTTATGTGATACAAAGCATAATAGATGTGAACATTTTGTATTATTACCATTGTATTATTATCTTTCATAAAAAATGTGGGTTTCAAAATGCTCTCTGTCAAAGCTCCCTTAACTCTGCAAAAGACCTGAAGCTTAATTGGTGTTTCCAAATGTGCGGGGGTGAAGATATCTGTTTAGTGTTTACACAAGGATACACACCACCCACTTTGTTTTTAGATTTCCTTAGATCAAATAATACTGCAACTGAGACTGCTTAGAGAGGAAGGAAAGAACGAAGGAGACAGAAGGGAGTAGCAGAGCCAAAACATAAAGAGGTGCTTGTGTGAACACATTTGCTGCTTTTTCCCTCTTAAAAGGGTTTTTTAGGGAGTTTCAGTCGAATCAAGGGTGTGAGGACTGAGGGTTTTGTACAGACTGTGAAGCCCCCAGAGCCAAATTGTGATTTGTGTGTTTGACTGCTGTTGGTTTGCTGGAAAATGTTAAATTGTCTGTGGTGTCTGTGTGGACGGGTGATGGGGGAGGAAGAGATGATCCTCCACAGCATTATGTGAGGTAGACCACAGGCTAATACTATTAAAATGTTTTGGTTATGTTATGTCTTGTCATTTACAAGGATGCAGTAAGTTTGAATCATTTGGATCTGATGTACTTATGCACTTAAAAGTTTGGTTTTCTGCTGTAAGGACACACTGATTACCACAGGAATCTTTGCTCACCTCCGGAATGCTTCCAGTAAAATACGGTGAATGAAAAAATAGGTTGAAAATGCAACAGAGGTAAGGAATAACAACAGGTCAAACTACAGTTTTGGTGGTGCACATGGTATATATATATATAAGTATAAAACACATTTTTCAGCCAGATTTTGTACTATTGCATATTATTGTATATTTGTAGTCCAATGATTCTTTTAAATAATCAAAGTAAACACAGAAGAATTGGCCTATAAGATAAAGGGGCGTACATGTATGTGTTTGAGTGTTGGTTGACATATGCAAATTTTGCGATTCTATCATAAGCACACACAAGCGGCTGTCCTCCTCCTCCACATAGTGAAGAGAGTAGATGGACTGCCACAACAGAATTCCAAACAGTGTCTCTGTTCATGTGTGAAATGTGCTCCACTTCCCCTCCAGTGATTAAAACATGAACAAAAGTACATTGAATAACCAAAAAGATGAGGGGAATACAAAAACAGAGGGTTCGCCTGTTAAAAGGTAATATTCTGCTACACGAACCTCAAAAATGAGCTCATTCAAACATCATGTATAACATCAAGCCCTTACAAAGCCTTCATTGAAGTTTATGTGGCGCACAAATCGTTAAACTACTACTAAGGAAGACGAACAGTAAAATTATTCTTTAAACTGTCCATTATGAACACCCGTCAGAGAGTCTGATTGTGTGACTGTTGGTGTCTGTGGCCCTGTTGAACTTTGTTGCTTTAGTGAGTACAAAGTTATCGTAATCGTTATAGGTGACAGCAAAAATATAACAATAAGACTCAAGTGGTGAAAAACTGGAATTATCCTTTAATGACCAAATTTCATGTGGCATTAAAGACAAGACATAATATTATGATGTGTTATATGTTCCAGAAGCTACAAAGATTAAAATAAAATCCATTCACTCTTGGAATCTGCATACTGTCTTTGTTTGTATAGTTTGTCTCTTTTATAACCGACACAATGCACTTGCCTTTCTGTGAAGCAGCTGTGACTGTGTTCCTCCTCCTCCTTCTATCTCGTAGCGGACGGTGTTGAAGAGAGCGACAGCGTACTGCTGCTCGTACACATCGCTGAACTCTTTCATCACGTCCCTGGTCCGAGCTGCAAGAGGACACAGACACACAAGATCAGGACACATCCATATTAAAGACAGACTGAAAAATTACAGGTAAAGACATTTAGTGGACACTAATGAAGGAAGCTTGAACGAAAGAGTTAAGGTTCATTTTGGTTCAAACAACATACGTCAGTAGGGAAAAGATCAAGCGCTTCAATTCATTTACAACTAGACAGACTTGACTAAGTCTTACAGCAGGACTGATTCCCAAATGCATCTCAGATGAGGATTTTGTCAACTCTATTTTGGTTTTCCAAAACATATCAGTACTGCAATTCAAACGTCTTTGTTAAACATTAGCTGGGTGCAGATAGGGAGCTGCAGTTCTCCTGTGAAGACACACTGTCTTAAATGAAGTCTCACTACGTCAAAAAAGCCACAACCTTCACCGCCGCTATCGGCTCTTTATGAAAAGTGTCATATAATCAAATTTAAAGTGGGCCTATTAGACAGAAAACTAACTCTTGTGTGACGCTTGTGCAGCACTTAAAAAAGAGATGCCTACAATGAACTATCAGCACAGTTCACTTTATATTACGGCTGTCTGGTACAGCTCTGTCATTGGTAAAACGTTTGGGATGGAAGTGCTTTTGCATACTTAAAATACAACTGCAGTCAAAAGACTTTTGAATGTAATTTCTGCTTGGCGTCTTGCTAGATTCAAATGTCATTTTAGATGTACTTACATATTCAAACCCAAGATTTTGACTGCACCATTCAATCAAATAGTAATATTTACTTATCATTTTACACATATTTCCTGCCAAAATTTAGCCTGAAGTATCTTCAGGTGTTGTGGACTGTTGGTCACACAAAATTTGAAGAAATCACTTTGGAGTAATTTTCACTATTTTCTGACATTTCATGGACTAAATGGTTAATCATAATGAAAAGTACTGTTAGTTGCAGCCCTAGTTTGGAGTCTGCCTATGGGCATGAATCAAGTTGAATCAGCATTTTCCTGTATTGCATTGATCCTTCTCACAGCTTGACTCAGCACTTCTTTTCCACAACTGTGTGAAAGCAGCATCCTAGTAAAGAGTCCAAGAACCTGCCGGAGGGGACATGAGCTTTTCCCACGTTCCAGCGCTGGAAAAAGAGTCAGTTAGTGAGTCAATCAGTATGTTTGGCTCAGTCAGCAGCAGACAGTGTTGACTATGATCTGTTTATGGAAGGAACAACACAGGAAGGAGGGAGCCGGCCTGCAGTGGGAGAGCAGGAAGGAAAGAGCTGACAGGACAGGATAGACAGGGAGAGAATGTGTAGGAGACAGGGGACAGGGACACACAGACTTATTAAAAATACTGTGTCATACCAGGAGCAGATGGGTGGACAGGTCAGAGGAAATATAAAGAAGACTGTAAAAGAGCTGAAACACAGACTCTCCTCTTTAATCCACAGTTTAGTATGGCTGGCTATCGAACCTACTTTTTTCATACCGACTAAAAAAAGAGTATTGTAAACTGTCAGGGAATTTGACATTTTCTTTATTTTTAAGTTTTCTTACATCTGCTTGTGTGTAGATGAAATGTAACACTTTTGTTCAATGAAAAAAAAAAAAAGTGACGATCGGTACCAAAATGCTGGATTCGCATCTGCACTGGTATCAAAAAGCCCAACTGTTTATCTTATCATCCATTCTCTTTCACTCATAAAAATAGCTTTATTAGAGTATGAGATAACTTTTGCTAAACCTCAGACAGGTTTGGTTATCAATCAACCACCACCTACCTCAATATTAAGATATATAAACATACTTGCTTAGGGGAAAAGACTAACTAATAAAGTCATTTTTTAATTTCAATTTACTATCTATCCTATGTTATAAGATATTGTGCAAACAAGGTAAAAAGAATTTCATCTTTCAGCACTTAAGGAACTCTGTATTTTGGCTTCAAATAATTTGTCACTTTTTTTTATTGCAGATATCAGATAACACTCTCTCCAGTGTAAATTTCCACCAGATAAGTGCTGGCTAAGGGGGCTTCCGTTTAAAGAGTGCAGAGAGTCGGTACTTTCCACTGGTTGTCCTGCTTTGCCAAAGTCAGCAGACTGGATAACTGTACATGGACAGCCTTTTGGGCACTTGGATATTGGAATTTGGGAACAAAGACCACATCATAAATCACACACTCAACCCTCTGTTTAAGCATGCCAAAAAGGTTCTGTTATATCCCTCCTCCACCTCCTGTTCCTCTCTTGCCATACAAGAACCAAAGAGAACTCATCAGGCACCCCATCAATGAGGCAGTGCGCCCTAGCTGACTCACAAATACCTGGAATCACTGAGCCCATAACCCCACCATTAACTTATTCCTAGATTCATGCCATTTGCCTTGCTTCATCCTTCCAATGTCAATTCCACGTTCTGAATAAATAAATGGATCAATAATAAGAAATCTATAGATGTTGTTATCAGCACACAATCATATATGCACTCAAATGTGTCTCTAAGGGTAAGCTCAGCCACCCTACGGAGGAAACTCATTTTGGCTGATTGTAACTGTGATCTCACTCTTTTGGTCAGTGTCACTAACTCCTGACCATTGGTGAGTGTTGGAACAACAGGTGCATCTAAAGCTGTGCCTTTAGACTGTGCTGCTTTATCCTTGTTTAAATTCATTATTTATCTTAGGACAAGGACAGAAATGAGAAAACTACTGAGTTGAGAACAGATGCAAACTAGCAGAGGGGGATAGACCTTTGTAGCTCTTTTTGGGGTTATGATGGTTTCACACGATTACTGTTTATCCCTCTAGTCCAATAGTACATCTAGCAAGCAAGGTCCCAGCTACACAAAACTGTGACAGCATCGGACAGGAGATCAGTTTGTACTGAGGCAGCTGTGATAGGGAGAGTTTCATGAAGTAGGATTAGCATTTTATCAAAACATCTTTGAAAGGTGTTAAATAATCTCCTCAGGAACATTATGTATTATTATAAAACGCATGGTTGAAATATGAGATGTTGACATACGCTGGTGAACACATTCACACCCTGCTTTTGTTAAGCATAAAAACAATTATGGATTGATAAACATGAACTGTATGGGTTTGCATTTGTACTGTGTGTGTGTGTGTGTGTGTGTGTGTGTGTGTGTGTGTGTGTGTGTGTGTGTGTGTACACATATTGCTTCTGTGTTGTGTGGGCTTACAAGGGAGGAGATCATTTTGTGAGAATGTGCGCAGGCAGCATGGATGAAGAAATCACCTTGTTGGGAGGTGCACTCTTCAAACAAATAACCCAGTGCAGAAATGCTGAGTAGTGGGGTGGCGTGTGAGAGTTCTGGTTCAGCTATTAATCTTGTGACATGTTTCTACCTGCTCTACTTCTGCAGCTTCACTCACTATCTTCTCCTCTGACTCATCTCTCCATGTGTATCTTTTTCTCAGCCACACTCATAAGCAGATATTGCACTATTTTAGGTCAAATATGAAAGGATGGTGGCTCTTTATACAGCTGTTCACGAGGTTCTTGTTTTACAAGTTTTTTAATCTTAAACAGATTTCATAAATAGATCAGCTTTTCTCATAACACCTTCTGTCATATGACACCTGAGCCAGCACCATTTGCTGATGTGGGATTGTGCAGCTGAAGCTCCACAAAAGCTTGTGATTAGACCTTTTGAGATGAGATTGTTTTGTCACACAAGTTGTTCCCTAGGTCAGGGTTACACCTTCCATGCTTACAGCTTCTTTTCAGCTCTTTCTGAATGTGACAGTCTGCGTATTCCTCGATTTTTAGAGGCCTACCTATAGTGAGTATCCCACAAGGTGATGTCTTCAAATTGCTTGTTTTGTCTGACCAACAGTCCAAAACTCAAAGATGGCAGCCTTTAACAATGTTATTTTAGCCATTTTAAACCATCTCTGAGAGTATTTCTCTGTCCGCTTCACAAAAAACAGCAACAACAAACAAACTTGAGTGTCTGAACCTCAAGAACATAATCTATGGTTTCCAGAAGTGGTTTCCTCATGCGAGTGCGCCTGCCAGCATACGCACACAAACACAATTACCGTCGTGAAGGAACATCCTAACTGAGGATAAAATGACTCTGAAACAACAGTTCCTGCAAAGCATAAATCTGGAGGACGTAAACACCAACTAAAAATAAAAACAAGCAAGTCTTCTCCATTTCCCTGAGCTGTTTTTTGACCTTGGATGCATTTCTAAACTACTTCTAGCAATGGCCGTCTAATGCTTTTAAGAAAGCATCTACAGATTCATGAAAGTGTTTCAGCCTCTGCACTGTTCCTCCTCTTCCCTCTGCTCCCATGCCTTTGCTGAAATAATCCCACAGACCTGCACAGTTCACAGTGGGAGGCCGGAGGAATCTGAGACTTAAATAGCAGTCAGTCCCAAACTTATACAAACACGCTCCCCTTTGGGAAACCTACTTATTATCTGAGAGAAATGGGTCTGCGGCACAGATGGGATTCAGGGGAGCTCTTCAAGTAGAGCAGAGCAACAATGCACTGATGTGAATGACAGGCTTTGTCTTAGTGAAACGGGGAAGGGTGACACTTGCTGAGAGGGAATTGCTTGTATTAATAACTCAAGAAGCTGGATATCTGCAGGTAATGTCTGTAATGTATTTTACCAGCACATACAGCATTAAAAGAGTGGAGGCAGGTTTCAGTGGATTTCTCTCTCTAGGCCAGTTTGACAGCTCAGTTTAAAGATTGTTTGATCTAAAATACAGCTTCAATGTAGTGTTCAGACAATTATGACTAAAAGAGAATTTAAGCCAACTTGAAAGTAATTGAATGATCAAGAAATAAACTTTTTAAAATATAGAAAAGCAATCATGAACTGTGTAATATCGGTGTAAGGACACTACTGAAGGATATACTCAATTAAAGTCTTACAAACTTTTATGAAGGTTTCAGTGCTGTTTTGGATGCGGATAAAGCAACTTTTAAGGAACTTCAGTCTGTGGGAAGTTGAGCTGCAGCTGGGGAACTCCTCTCTTACCTGTAATCATCTCCCGCCTGCTCTCGTCCAGGTGAGAGGAAACCACGTCCCCCATGGTTACACGAGAGCCTCGCGCAGATCCTGCAAGTATCCGATTTAGTTACAGGTTGTGCTCAAAGGGAAAATAGAGTTTGGTGATATTTCCAGCAGGAGTCTCAAGTATCCAAGAAGAGAAAATGCTTCACTTATCCCCCCTGAGAGGCGCACGGCTCTGGCGCTGCTGAGTGTCTCCAAAGTCCAGAGGAGGAGGAGGAGGAGGTGGAGGTGGAGGAGGAGGACTGAAGCGAGGTAACAACTTCACGCCGGCGAGGAGATTGGGAGGAGGTGAACACGGGTCTGGTTCACTGTGGCAGGACACACCCTCAGGGAGTCATCACTGGTCCAACGTGTTCAGTCGGCCCTGCCAAGGGTGTGGTCAGAACCAGGAGCTTAGCATATTCAGAATGTACTGTAAGTGTGAGTGTTGCGTTTGTGTGCAGCCTGCCTTTATTTATACATATAACTATATGACATGAATATGACATTTAATACACCAACCAGCATGTGCTGTAGCCTATATAATGATAACGCCTGAACTATGTGGCTTATTTTAAATTAGTTTCATATCAGGTATTTAACTATTTTCAATACTGCTCTCGAAGCTCTAAATAAGCTTTAGTACTATTAGAGGGTTTGCACTGTGGGAAAACCTTTTAATGATGACCAGTGGTTGCGTTTTCCTGCACAAAGATACATGCTGCCCTCTTGTGGACACTTACTATTAATGTGGGCCTGTATCCACTGCAGAGAATCTCACTTACATCCTCCACCACAGCTAACCTGTGATGAAGAACCAATGAGTCACTGCATTTTATTTAGACATTAAATAATACTCACAGAGGAATGGAAAAATATGTTCAATATTCTCACTGATTAATGCCGGCTTCAGTGTGAAATCCAGTAGGCTATTCTCATAATGTTCTCATTAAATATATTGCTAATCAGCGAGTTAGGAGTTTATTGTTTTGGACTCCTAATAGATGTTTCCTTGGCAACAGCTGCTCTGTGTGGAGTTCAGTAATAAACACATGTTTATAGGTATGCTTCATACTGTGTATCAGTAACAGCAATAAACAGTTCCAGGTCCAGTGTGTCACATTTATGAGGATCTGTCGGCAGGAATGGAATATGATAATCATAGGTATGTTTTCATTTGTGTATGATCACCTGAATATATGAATCATTATGTTTTTGTTACCTTAGAATGAGTCGTTTTTATCTACAGATGCCATGGGTTGCAGACCAAACACTGACTGTAGATAGGGCCTTATGTGTTTTTGTAAGTGTTGCAGCCATCATACGTTCACAGTCCGTTCTCATTCCCAGGTTGTCAAATACGACCCTAACTGTTGTTCAGTTATTTGCAATCTGCAACTTCACCACTAGATCTCACTAAATCCAACACACTGGTCCTTTAAAGTAGTAGATCAAACTAAAATAAATCCGCAGCAGTTGTAGTTAAGTAAGTAGTAATAGTTGTTTGGAGTTTATTGTTTTCATGAATTTCATTTATCAAGCGAAAGATGCTTTTGTCTTTCATATTGCTCTCAGCCAAATAAGCTAAAAAAAAATTTATTTTGACTTTGATTTTTCAGGCAACATAAGAAACTTGTATACATCACATTCAGCTTTATGAACATCACCAATAAACCAAACACAGTTCGAGTCTTTTTTTAATCTGAGGATTAATGAGGGATTTAAGATCAGGAACAACGATGTGGTAAGAAGTTGCTAATAAGGTAATAAAAGAGCTAATGAGCGCCAGTTGTAGCTGAACGCCCAACACCACCAATGAGAGGATGATGCGGAAGGATACGCAGTGACGTCTCCAACTGGAGGCTCCTCCGCAGCGATGTGAGTAGGGAGGGGGAGAGAAAGAGAGAGGGAGAGAGAGAGAGAGAGAGAGAGAGAGAGGAAGCAGAGGGTGAACACTCGGTCCAACACTCAGCAGCATCATGGCACCTATCGGATTAAAGGCGGTGGTCGGCGAAAGTAAGATATATAATTCTATTATTTTGCGCTAAATTTGGTGAGATGTGGCGCAAATACGGCTCTGTTTGCAGGATGCGGATATCAGCTAGTGCATTGGGGGGTGATGATGGTGATGATGAAGGAGGTGCTGTTGGTGTTCCATTGTATCCTATTGTAAAGCGTATAGTGAGGGAGACGTAGATAACCTGCAGAGGCTGGTTCCTCTCTCCAGGCTCCTGCGGTGCGGATGCGCAATTGTATTTCAAGCGTTGGAGACCTACCGAGCGGTGATCAGCCCACTGGCAGAAAACGCAGGCATCATTCTCCAGAAGGATGCAGAAAGCCTGGCGGCAAATGTAACCCACATACGCCCTTTTAGCCTCAATCAGCGCTTATTTCAGGAATCATCTGCGCCGCAACATAAACTGTGGTTTTGTTGTGAATATTGTTCTATAAGATACTTCATACACTTGCTTCTCACGCCTAATTAAAGCCAATATTCTAATGTAATGCTGTTGGTTATGAAGTGACAGGAGATCAGTGGGATTCCCTGGTTTCAGCAGTGCCTCACCCCTCTGATGGAGCATGAATCGGTTGCGTAAAACACCCTTTCTCGACCGGAGCGCTTCACAGCTGAATCAAGCTGCTGTCAGCTCCGTTACACATCAATGGCGGATTGTATCCAAGACGAGAAAGTTGCCTAAAGAGGCCGCTACGCAAGAAATTCCGCATTATCTGTAAAGACGCTACTGTGCAGTAACGATCAGCGAATGCCCTTTCCTCATCACCGTGCCCTTTACTGGCGGTGCGCCACCGAGTCAGTGTGATCCTGCATCATTAGGACGCTGGAGAGTCTGAGCACTGTCTGATTTTGCCATTAGACTCTCGCCATTAGTTATTTGGGCTGATGCTCCAGCACTGTTGGTGTGTGGTGCTGATGCAGGCCTGAACATGGAGGCGCAGCTCGATTCTCCCGAGCAGGGTCAACCGGGTGCAAGCGTTGTTGGTCGTGATAATGTCAGACAGGCCTGCATAGTAAAGAGAGACTCGTAGAGACCACTTCATGTGAAGCCAGGTTAAATACATCACTAATATTTTTCCGTCTTTAATTCGGCTGCACGTTTTCTTCCTCCTCGGTAGCGTGCCCTGCCCGTGGTGCAGGATTTGCTCCATTTGATAGATCCTGTTCAGGTTATTGATTCGGCTTCACATTTCACTAAACACATCCACGTACTGCCTCTGTAGTTATGTCTCACGCCCTGCCAGTGAGATTGCTAAATCTCTAAATATCCTAAATCGTATCAGGATCAGCGGTGTGTCATATTTGTCAAGTGTCCTCCCCCCCCCGGCCCACTCAGATCCACATCCACATCCACATCGACCTCCTCAGTCATACAGAGTTACAGTATTGTTCTGCTTTGATGTGATAGAAGGTGAAAATGGTTTGTTCTTTGGCTGAGGATCAGGCCTCCCATATGGAGGAGAGTTCAGCCAGTGATTACAAACCCAAAAATATGCATTCACACTGAATCCTAGGGTACAGCGTGTGATCAACATAATGAAATATTGTTATGATTGGTGGTATATAAAGCTGTTGTCACAGTGGTGATGGATAAGGCTGAAAATAACAATAGATCCAGGCTATGTAAAGTAAAATTAACCATACTCAACTGTTTGCTTGGAATTGTTGATTTTAACAATGGGATAGTAAATGAATCAATGACATTACATGATCATATTGTGATAAGATTCCACTGATCATACTGAATTATTGGCTAACCCTGCTGTGGAGTTACAGCACAGTTTTAAAAGGTTATTAGGAAATGTTGTTTGACCAAGTTCTATATTGTGGTTGTGGTGAAAATTAGTATGAGTGTGAGTACAGAGTAGCCCTACATTTTAACACCAGGCATCACTGGTAGTCGTCATTTTTCTGTAACACAGCAAACATTTTTTAACTCACAAGACTGAAATTTGATAGAAATGATATCATCTGCGTACCTGCAACATTACGCAATACAGCTTCAGATGCCAAATATTCTTGTATGTTCTGCATTATTTAATTACTTAGGCCTCGTAACTGGCAATTACATAACCCAGTTTGTAAAACTAAAGGCAGGCACACGCAGGCTCTCAGTGTCGACTGAATCGTCTTTTCCAGAGCAATGTAAACACTCGTGCATGTTTCCCTGTAGGTGAAGGCAGGGACGCAGCAGGCAACACCTGCGCTCTGTTTGGCTGAGGTGAAGCTAGGATGGGATTGGTGGAGGTGGTGGGGGCAAAAAGGGGAGGGTAGCACCATCATGGGTCCTCTCTGCAGCAGTGGATGTAGCAGCCAGGCTAAAGGAGGGGGATGGGCAGCAAGCAGAGCTTCACCCTCCCCTTTCATGACTGTATGTGAGCATCAGTCCCAGAGAGCAACAGAAGGAAAATAAGGCTGAAGGATGAGGATCACAATCTGAGCTGGTAGATATTTAAATGAAAATGGTTCTGCTGCTCAGGTTGATGAAACTGAGAGAGCACAGCAGCTCTTTTTGTAAATTACAACAATCCAGTAAATAAAAGGAAATAATATTCTGTTTTTGACATTCAAGAGGTGAACACTTTACACTGTAATGCATATAAGGCTGTTGAACTGGATCATTATATTGGCCAGGTGTTCATGTTATGTGTCTATTCCTTGTATTCTTCACTTCTTGAGACTCTTATATGTTGACCCAGACAAGGAATCATACATGTATTCAGTAATTTAATGATTTATTTGGAGGTGGATTATATGGATAAAATCTTGTATCACAGAATATGTAATTTCCTATCATGATATTGATACAGTGGTAGACTATAGTCAATGTTCTTGGAATTAACGTAAGAAAGTCCTGATAGATAAAGTAGCAATAGAATGTCTGTTTTTTGGTTCATCGACTGAAATATATACCTTACATATCAAGATACCTCATCACATTTCTGCAAAAATCCTTTCACTTGAGACAGATTAACAGTGTCTCACACGTTATTCCTGTTCAGGTTCATTAGGTTCATCCTGCGCATGCAGTGCTGTCAGATTGACACTCCACATTCAGCATACACACAGTTTTAATTAGCATCCTGTGGTTGCATAACAGGTACAAGTAATGTGATTGTCCATTTAGGAGTCAAAATATGCCCGTTCAGCAGAAACGAAGGTGTAGAAACAACAGCCTGACTCGAACCACGGTCTTACACCCACTGGCCAACAGCAGTGTTGTCGTTAGCTGTTCATTGTGGCATTTTTGATCGATTCATTCATCAGTGAGCTAAATCAGAGTGCCAAAATCAGCCAGTTGTAATCCAAAAATTCAAAAGACATATCACACCTGCAACAATAAGTGATTTGCGTTGTTGCATTTCTCATGTGAAGGATTAAGTCTGTGAATGCAGAGGTGGAGTTCAGCTGGAAAAAAAACACAAAACAGGTAGATACTGACAGTTATTCCCAATTCCATATTATTATGGAATAATGTTAGCATGGAATAAGTATAACATTATTATAAATGGAATAATATGGAAGTTTTTTTCCTTAACCATTGCCCTTACTGCGTTCAGCTTTTCCCGGTTAGGATTCCTTCAGTGTTCATCATTCAGGAGGTTTTTACCAGAAGCCGAATTATCCACACAGGTCTTTTTCTCTCCAAAACAAACGGCCCTGATGATTAAAATCAGTAAAAACACTAAACAAAGCAGTTTCACCTTAAATATCAGCATTTCTCTGCTGCTGTTCGGCTGACAGTGGACGTCCCGGACAGCTTGCCAGCCGAGCTGCTGCTAACGTTAGCTCAGCTTGTTTCTCTAATGACTTAAGATTTAGACATCCAATGACTAAAATCCTTCATCCGGTTAAAATATTTATTTTTAAAATGACCAAGATCGAAAAAGTCTATTTTAAAAATGTGATTTAAAACTGGATAAAAAGTCAGTTTATGACAGCTCCTGGAAGAGAACAACACTGACGCATGCGTAAAGGGGATATGACACCATTGATGGGTGACTTGTGAAACCCACCGTTACCTAAATAAAAAGACAGAGTTGTGGGTTTGAACATTGTTGAAAACATTGGGTATAATGGAATTACACATCTCAACAAAATATATAATATAGATCTAGCATTTTTAGACATTTTAAGGCAGAAATGTTAATATATCTTTAATGATACAATAAATTAATACTGTTCATTGTTGTAAAATGAAACAATTCACAGCGTGTGCTGAAAGACGCCAGCCGAGTTGTGAGTAGGACTTGGCAATAAATCTGAATTGTATTGTTCTCTCTTTTATTCTTGTCTCTTGTAGCAAGACTTTGAAACTATTAAAAGACTAAAGTTTGGGAAATACACTCATTTACTTTCTTGCTGAGAATCAAAAAAGGAAATCGATACAACTGCCATATCTGTGGGTTAAGTACAAAGTTAGAGTCAAATTGTGGTTAGCTTAGCTTAGCATATAAACTGGGCGTACTAGGAGACAGCTAGCCTGGTTATGTCCAAAGTTCAATTTCTTGGCAAACAAAAGCCAGGTGGAGTGAGGTTGCCAGGTTTGCTATTGTTGTTCCTAAAGAGAAATCAAAACCATAACAAATCACAGCAACACATAACTCCCCTTAAAACGGTACATTGTTGTTTTTGTATTTCACTTTACGGAATAAACAAATGAGATTCATTGCATTCATTAGTGAGTTCTGGAGGTGTTGGTATTTATTTCCTATGTGCAGTTTTTATGCTAAGCTAGGCTAACCACATCCTGACTCTTAAAGGTCCAGTGTGTAATATTTAGATATATTGGCAGAAATGGAATATAATATTCATAGGTATGTTTTCATTAGTATATAATCACCTGAATATTGGACTTGTTGTAGGATGAGTCTTTTTTCATCTACAGAGACCCCGGGTTGCCTTTCATGGAGTCCGCCATGTTGAAACGGCATATTTTATAGGGACTTTTGTGGTTTCCTGGAGATTTTTAATGCACTGATATGACACTTATATTGAT